CCGCGGAGTGGGAGCATCCACTTCCTGTTAGTGATTCTTTCACCTGATCCTGCCGACAGCCCCAGCACACAGGGAGCCCGTGTGTCAGAACTGTGGCTGTGCTAACTCTGCCTGGGGATTGTGCTTTTAGTGCTCTGTGGTGCACTTGGGAGGTAGGAAGATGGCTATGAGTTTGTGGCCAGCTTGAACTACATAGTGAGACCCCATCTCTCTCTGAGAGAGAGAGAGAGAGAGAGAGAGAGAGAGAGAGAGAGATGAACAGCACACATTCCCTGGCGTCTTCACAGGTGGGAATAGAAATCTCTGAAGTCGGAGTTGTGCAGTGCACAGCCTGGATAGCCATACATGGCTGGCCAATCTATAAGACAAATTTTATCTTATTTTTTTTAAATCAAGTTATCTGTTGATTTGCCATGGTGGATAGCTTGATTCATGTAACCCCTGGAGAGTGGCTGCTTCCATACCTGATTCTCACTATCTGTCTGTTGGGTAGAATGGATTCAGGTGAATGAAAACTAGACGTATCAGATGCTCAGGGGTATGAGATGAAACTCTAAAGAGATCAAAGCTAGAGGCACTCCCGCTTCCCTCAGTCTCCAGGGAGGACTGAAGGAGTTTGGGCAGGTCCTTGGCGGCTGGGGAAGGGCAGGGCCATTTCCCTGCATCATGCTGAGTCCTGTCCCTCTGTCACCCCTGAGCTGCAGCTGGACCCCTCCTCAGTGGCACGGCTCATGCAGCCCACCTACAGCTCATTCATAAACATTCGTTTCCACCCAAAGCAGCAAATGGATGTGGCTATTGGTGGCAGTGCAGCGGCCGGGTAGGGCCTGGATCCACTCTGAGGCTTGGCATGGAGCTGGCTGTGGCATTCTGACAGCCCCGTGGCAGGGAATTAAGTGCCCTGAAAAGTCCCTTCACAGCCCTTTCCAAGGCGAGAAATCAACATTGCAGCCTGCTCTCTGCAGATAAGATTGGCCCAGAGCTCGGCTTGGGACAGAACTCGCGCTGGCCAATGGGGGCGACCACGATGGCGGCACCACTCCTAGGAGCAGCTTGCATTTAGGAAGGCCCTGTGTGCTCAGGCCGGCACCAAGTGTCCTGTCGACGCCGTCTTCTCCACTGGGGACAGTGGCTGGGGTCAGCCGGCGGCAGGCACAGGCTTGTATTCTCCCTCAATTGCCTTGCTGTCCCTTAAATTGTCTGAAGTGTCCAGGGCACGTGGTTGGATGTCGGTGCCTGAACTACAGAATGATGTAGTGAACAGCCTGATTTTGCTGAACATATTAATCAGTGTCATCTCTGTATATCTGATACACAAGCAGGGTCCCTGTCCTGCCTCACTGCAGGCTGGGCGTTGAGCAAAGGAATAGGCAGCAACAATGGCATCTGGGAATTGCTTTTCTTCTCTTTCCTTTCTGGTCTCTTCCTCTTTCCGTCCTAATGCGCAGCTGTCTGAACTCCCCTAACATTGTTAAATGCCCCTGGACTGCACTTTCTCTCCCCCCTGGCCTGTACACTGTACTCCTCCTACAAGGCTCCTCTTCCACTGCTTCATTTATACCAGGAAGAAGGCTGATGCTCAGAGACATCTGGACAAGTTCTCAGAGTTTCACGGCTTGCTAGGACAGGGGCAGCCGAAGCAACAGCCTGTGAGCTCTCCCTGGGAACAAGCAGGACTTCTCGGAATCTGTGGTGCTGTGACTAGGACGGTGACCTCCTCAGTGCCCTGCAGCCCCATTGAAAGATCCAGCCAGCACCAACTTTGGTTTCACTTTTTTTTTTTTTTTCTTTTTCTTTTTTATCGGTACCAGAGATCAAACTCACAACTGCCTGCTTGCAAGGCAGGCGCTTATGCCGCTGAGCTACATCCCCAGCCCTTGGTTTCACTTTTAAACATGTTTCAACCAGCGCAGCCCTGCGATTTAACAGCAGATATCGTATGCACATTAAACACCAAATGATTGTTAACATATTTATTGAAGCTTAACAGGCATCCAGTATATAAAAGATGACTCTCTTATATGGCTGTCAGACCTCAATAAACATGTTTAATAATTAATTGGCATTAAGCAAACATAATTGTGCAATTCTAAATTAAATATGCAGTGAAGCGTAGTGTGAATGCACGGCCACCGTGGTGTTTATTACTTAAAGTTCAGGCTGTCTGTCTGGCTTTTCACAGCTCAGGGAAATGCCACCTTTCAAAGACTGATCCCCAGTTCCCCAGACTGCGGGCGCAGTAGGTGGAGCTTCCTCTTTGGGGCCCTCCAGTTGGGGCACCTGGTCTCATTTGGCTCTGGGCTGGTCCTGCTGGGTCTCTACTTCCTGGGCCAAGAATTGTGTGACATGGAAGATTGCCTGTACGTTTCAGCTTGAAGGTGCAGGGACCAGTTCTGTGAATGAGTTCTACGCAGTCGCTGTGGACTCTGAATTCACAGATACTGAGCTGTCATTCCTGGGGGACACTTGTGGAGGTTCCTGTGAGCCGATCAACCACACCTTGTGTGCTTCTGTTTAAAGTCGCCTTGTTTAATACGTATCCACTCACATCAGCTCATGCCTGAAGGAAGCTTACTGCACACGTGTGGCACGGCCTCCCCACACGCAGGGCCAGCTGTCAGCTCCATGCTTGTGACCCCTCTCAAAGGACCCTTTACAAACTGGAGGAGACACACCATTAGTATAGCCACCGTGGAAAATGGTGTGTAGGATTCTCCAAACCGAACACAAATACCGTGTGATTCAGCAATGTAGACCTCCAAAGGAAATGAAGTCGGGGTATGAAACAGCCGTGCTCACTTTGACTTCACGGCAGGGCTTCTCACAGTAGCCAAGATACGGAATCAACCTCCAGGTCCCTCAGGCAGGGCTTGGATGGCTGAAGAAACTGCGGTTCACATACACAGTGGAATATGACTCAGCCTTCAAAAAGGGGGACTTCCTATCATTTGTGACAACACAGAGGAGCGTGGAAGACAGGACGTTAGGCAAAAGGAGCTAGGCACAGAAAGACAAGTGCCTCAGTCACTCGTGGAACTGCTAGGGGAGGTGGCTCCGCTAGAAGTGGGGGTAGCAGAGTGGCTACCGGAAGCCGGGGAGGGGGAAGGGAGAGCAGTGAAGGGAGAGGATCAACAAGACCACAGGCTCAGTCAGAGAGGAGGAAGAGTTCCCTCCTCGTGGCAAACAGAGGGGCTCCCAGCAGTGACCAGGCACGCGGGAAGAGGGATTCCGAGACTCCCTCTGCAGGGAATGCCCGAGCTCAGCACGCTGTACGCAGGGAGACGCTGTGACATGAAGCGGGGTGGGGCGCCGTGGGGCGGGCAGCAGGACCGCACACGCGCAGACACGGAATCCGCCGAGCGGACCGCGGGGGACCCGCGCCCGCAGCGCGCAGGCTGACCCGAAGGGAGGCGCCCCGGCTGGACGGAGCATGACCAACTGCGCGTGTCCAACAGTGACCACGATTTGGGGGGTTAAAAGTCAGCTTTACTGGGTAGGCACATTCGCAAACACCGAGGCCGCGGACAACGCGCGTGGGCTGGGTCGGCCGTCTGCACGCAGGAGCTAGCCCGGGGCGCCGCCCACGCACCGCGGGGTTCGGCTGCGGCCGCGCGGGGCACCCACATTTGTTGCATTCAATCGAGTCGTTTTTAGGAAAGATTCCAAACTCAGTGTCGCTGGAAAACGCTTCTTAGTTTTCCTTCGTCATCATTGCTTTCCGACCTCATTGCTGTTTATTATTTCTATTTAGTTAATATTCCACCACGGCTTACATTACCCTCCTGTGCCCCAGCTGCGCCTACATCCTTCAGGGCCTGGAATAGTAAGCTGCAGAGCACTAACCAGCCTCGCGAGGTGCAGGCGGGAGAAGGGGAAAGGTGCCCCGCATCCTGGGGTCACGCGTGGGCGGCAGTGAAAATCTGTCCCTGGGACCTCGCTCCCGTGTGCGCCTGCAGGGGCACGTGGATTGCGCTCGGAACCTCCGCGGGAGAAGCTCCGGGGAGCGTGCTGTGGCCCTGGGGGCTGGGCCCGGCCCCCACCGTGTGTGCCTTTCCGGGAAGCAGGCTGCAGTCTGCAGTCTGGAAAAGCGGTTGGTTTTGCAGGCAACCCTTGGAAAATAACATTTGAACGCTGGAATTATCTGCTTAGGGATCTTCAAACATGTAAATAAAGACAAACCGTGAAACTGAGTCATACCTGTTTTAAAACGTTAGAAAACAACATGACAGCATGTACAATCTCGGTATCACCTAGACATAACATTACAACGTTGTATAATTATAAAATACCGTACATCATACTGTTTTAATGTTTTTGTGGATTGGGTCCTTTATTCTTTTACACGGGAGTTCTTAGCACAAGTTTGATCATAGTGCACAGAAACGTTAGTGTTCTTTTTTCCCACTTCGGTGGCATCGCCAGTGTGTCCTGTAACCCACCACTGACGTGACCCTGATTTCAGACAGCTGCAGGAGAGATTTTAATTTTTGGAGAGAATTCATAATATTGGCAAACAATGTGTCCTCTTTCTTTCTCCCTCCCTCCCTCCTTCCTTCCTTCTTTCTTTCCTTCCTTCCTTCCTTCCTTCCTTCCTTCCTTCCTTCCTTCTTTCCTTCCTTCCTTCCTTCTTTCCTTCCTTTCTTCCCTCTCCTTTCTCTCCCTTCTTTCTCTTTTTCCTCTCTTTATCTCTTTCTTTCCAGTACAGTTGATTGCACTGCCCTACACCCCAGCTCATTTTTTATTTTGCAATGGGGTGTTACTAACTTGCTAAGTTGCCCAGGCTGTGCTCAAACTCACACTCCTCCTGCCTCAGCCTCTCAGAATGCTGGTTTTACATATGCACCACTGCTCCGGGATCCTTAGTATTTCTTGAAAGAACCTTTTCTATCGGAAGTTTCTCTCTAGTGTCCTTGAGTTTTTATTTGGATTTACTCATTCAAATATTCTCTCTGTCTCTCTTCTCTCTCTCTCTCTCTGTTTCGTACCAATGAAAAATGAAGCTCTTAAGGATGACAATTGCCAAGCAGAGACTGGGAGATGAAGAAATCGGGGTGCGGCATTTTGCAGCCCACGAGAGAGAAGACTTGGTGCAGCAGCTGGAGCGAGCAAAGGAGCAGGTTGTCACTGGTGTCAGTCAAGAGTGGAGGTTGGGCTTGCACAGCTGAACACAGCCCCAGAGCAGACATGCACCCCGAGTCTTCTGAGTGCAGGATGTGGCCAGAGTACACTGCTGACTGCTGTGCTCCTGGTACTGTCCCAGGTCCCAAGCTGACCCTTGGGTGTCTGACTGACATTATTGTGAACACAGCCAAAAACTTTGTCCCCAGCCAGGATAGGCTGGGGGAGCCAAACCTGACAACCTGGCCCTAATTTGTAGGTTTCCACCAAAATGCTGAGTGATGCTTCTTCGGTAAAATGTCAGCAGGTACAGAGCCCTGGTTAGGGAGCAGCTAAAAGAGCCTGTGGATCATTTCCCTCCTCTGGCTAATTGGTTTTGAAGAGTGGAACAAGATTCTTGGCTCCAGAGTGGGCTGGAAACGTTAAGCATTTGTAAGGTGCCAGCAGCGGTTCCCAGGGCTGACTTCACCCTCTGCGAGCCGTGGCTTCAGGGCACGCTGCAGGGGTCAGGCTCGGCTTTCTTTACTAAGCTGCTGTGCCTTGGCCATCCCCGATGTAGTGAATTCTGGCAGGAAGGCAGCCGCTCACTTTTCGCTTTTACCTAATATGTAGTGCATGAGGTTTTATAGCATGTAAGAGATAGTCACTCAGCTGGGCAAGTGGCTCCACCTCTGGTCACAAAAGGCCCAGGTCTGGGGACTGCATTGAATGAGGGCACATCTGGGGTTGCAGATCGAGTCTTTGGAGCACGATCTGCAGGCCTCTGTGGATGAGCTTCAGGATGTCAAGGAAGAGCGGGCCTCCTACCAGGACAAAGTGGACCGGCTGAACCAGGAGCTCAACCACATCCTGGGTGGCCATGAGAACCGCATCATCGACGTGGATGCCCTGTGTATGGAAAACAGGCAGGTGGCCTTTGTGCTTGGTGATGTGCTGGCCTTCACGGGGGGACAGGCTGGAAGTCCTTTGCAGCCCTGTTTGCATCTGAAAATATTGCTTTACAAGTGAGAAGAAACTCGTGGCCCCAATGCTACCAGTGTCACATACTAGTCCTAAACTAAGTGGAGAGGCACTCATTCCCATGCATGGAGCCCTCCCAAGCCCCCAACATACACACGCTCCCTGCCTGGGCCGGCAGTGTGAGGAGCCAGAAGGAGCTACTTGTTATTGCTATCAAGGAGAGGGAAAAGAATAAGAAAATAAATTGAGAAATTCCCTTACCTCTCTCTTCTCCCTGAGGCAAATTTCAGAGTGTGTCTGTGTCTCACTTAGTGTTATGCCTGGTGTCGCCTCTTCCTGCCTTGCTTCCCGGTGGAATCATCTTAATGAGAATTATGTGAAAACTGTGTTGATGTCCCTTAGGGGACCTCCGCGAGGGCTGTTTAAAGCGGGGTGTCAGTGATTTGGGCATGTTTGACCTTGATCACATCCATTTAAGAAAAGGTCACCAAGATGTACATTTTTCTCCTCCTTTGTGGAACAAGGAAGAAGGAAAGCATTATGTGCGAAAGATAGATCTTCTTGCAAGTTGTTTTCATTTTTTGCTCTCAGACTTTAGTGTATTTTGTTAAATTTTTGCTCCCAAACATATCCTGGTGGGATATATTTTTTTCCAGGTACCTTCAAGAGAGATTAAAACATCTCCATGAAGAGGTCAATCTCTTGAAATCAAACATCGCCAAATACAAGGTAGCAAAATTGTGTTGATAATGCCGGTGATTCACCATTGTACATCTAAATGGCATCCTGTTTTAATTCTCTTTTATGTGCCAAGATATTTCAGTGCTTGCCTGTCCTCCCAGAGAAAGCCCCTGAAGTGCTTTAACTGGGGGAACCAGTAAAAATTAACCCTGAACAACAGACAGCTTCCGAGCAGCTTCTGCAGAGCCCTTTCGTGGCTGCTGTCAGCCGAGCATTTGGGGACCTCCAGAATCTGGACGTGTCTGCCTGACCGCCCCAGCCCATGTGAAATTAGGGTTCCTCCCTATTTCCCCTGTAAAATGTGCAGTCATCAGATGCTATTTATCTCGTAGTCATCCATAAGGAAAGGGTTTCTGAGGGAGGGAGAAACAAAGCTAGGAAATCACACTCCGAATGATAATGTTCACGTCACACTGAAAGGACAGGGCGTTTGAATTCTCCCCACTGTTATTTAGTCTGATTCCAGCACCATTAGTTTGATAATATCTATTTCTGCAGATGTTAGTTGTAAGTGTTATAATTAGAAAAATCTCCTGGGTTTCTCTGCTTTGAAAATAGATTGATTCCTCTTCCTGGGGGTGCAGCTTTACAGCCATGGAGATGCATGGGAGAGCCCGCTCATTGTCGTGGCTGTTGGCATGAGCTTCTGTTCTCAGAAATTTCCATGCTTGTCCATTCCATAGTGGCACACATTATTCTGCACCATTCTGTAGATACACATGCAGCCAAGTAAACATTCAGCTTTTAATATGTAATTTTAAAAAATACAGATACCTTCATTTAACATTTATTTTGTTCTGTGTGCCAAGCACTGATACATATTACACGTCAATCTTTAATGCATGAGTTTGCTGTAGGAATGACACATAGGCAGCACACATGTGCATTGCCTTAATCTCATGCCTGTGGCAGACATCACTAATTGATCATGGGTTTCTTTTTCAATCCAGCGACCAAACCTTTGGATACCACTATTGGGGACATGGAGTTAATCTATTTTCCATTTTGTTTCTTTTCCAAAGGGATTTCCATAACTAGATTTTACACATTACACTGTATCCTGACTTCAGATATAATTTAATTTAATGAACATGGGTTGAACACCCTTTGAATAAAAGGGGGTGTAGTTACTATCATTTTGCTATGCAGCACCTTTTTACAAAACTCTTCTTGGATCTGTAAAATCCCTAACTTTGGCAAAGACTGTGGATTCTATATGTCAGGGAGCATAAGGATTTTTAAAGAGGTTCTTGGTGCCAGTGAGTGAATGCATCTCCTCCAGTGAGGTGTTTTTGCATCGTTGGTGTTTCTAACAAGTGTTTTTATTTTCTCCCAATGCTGCTATAGAACGCTCTTGAAAGACGGAAAAACTCGAAGGGCCAGGGCAAATCCAGCAGCAGTGCTCTGACTGGAGTCCTGTCTGCAAAGCAAGGTAGGTGCTCATTGTTTAGATGAGACCACTTATAAACACAAATTGCTTCTAGTATGCTCTACGTCACATCTGAGTTGCTGGGTTTGCAGATCTAGAAGCCAGACAGTTCTAGAAGAAGTGGTTGCCAAACTTCTCCCTGCATGGGAATCACCTGGAAATCTAGTTATAGCTCAGATTACCAGGCCTGTTCCCGAGCTCCTGCAGTAGGTCTGAGGTGGGCACCTGACGATGTGTGCAAAAACTTCCCACCTAATGTTGCTGCAGGTTCAGTGGGCCCACTCTGAGAATCAGTGTGTTTCAGGTCTTCTCAATGGCTCCATTCTACCCCAGTGTGTTCCCCTACCCCAGCTACTGACTGAGCATCTCTGAGATGTTCTCCAGCCTCCTGGAGTTTCTCCTTCTCCTGGCCATGCCATCAGAAGAGAAAAGCCCCATAGCTGCCGGCGTCATTTTACCATAGAACAGGTGCCTTTTTCAAACAAGCTTTTATTGATTGCAATTTTGTTCCTCCTTCTTGTCGATTCCAATGAAAAATAATGATCTTCCAGGAACAGGCCAGGGGAATAAATAGCAGAGAGCTTGTGTTCTGATGCTTAATATTCAGAATTCAGCTCTAAATACAGGCTCCGGCTTGCACATGCTCAGCTGGCCCATTTTCCAGTTGTTGACAGTGCAGCCAGAAACTACCATGTGGCCGTCTCCATCTGAGCTGAGAGGCTTGGACAAAAAATGCTGAGTCCCCAGCTATCTAACCAGCAAGGCTCTGCTCCAAGCAACTTCTGTCTCCACTCCACTAGAAAAGAGCAGCTATGAGTATTTTTAAAAGAAAACTAGAGTCCTCTCTAACAATGTAAACTGGCCCAACTGTGTTTAGCCCTGGATGCCATAGATTCAGCCGGACGGGGAGCAGAGTTAGGCACCCAGCCTGACCCTTCTGAAAAGCCTACTGCACAAAGCCTACATCATGATCTATTGGCACCAGAAATCCAAACCTATCAATCTATGGCAACCTATTACAAAAAGCCTTAACTGGCCCCCATTGAAAGAGCAAGAAATCATTATAATATATGCAGACATTTTGCTACAGGAAGTTCTTCATACGTTTGATGAGAGTAAAAACTGGAAGTGATGTAAACATTCAGCAGTAGTTCTTTGTATAGTATCTTTGAATGGACTATTAAAGCAGCTATTAAATTTTATGTTTATAAGATATGAATAATGCTAAGTATTGTTAAATGAAAAAAAGCAGGGTTTTCTCTGTTTTTTGAAATTGCAGCTGGGGATGTAGCTCAGAGGCACAACGCCTGCCTGGCAAGTGCAAGGTCCTGAGTTCGACTTTTGACACACCAAAAAAAAAAAAAAAAGAAAGAAAAAGGATTTTTTTTTTAGTTGCACGTGGTCACTTAGGAGATGAGAGTTCTAAGGGGAGATTTATACTGTTGCTTTATCGTGTCTGGGAGGAGGAGTGGTGGTTATTGTACATTTGTTATATCTCAGCTTATCTATCCTTCCTAAAAAATGTGGATTACTTTTGTAGTACGGTAGGAAGTTGTGTACATTCAAAGCAGACTGCCTCAAAGGAGAGTTTTCTGACTATGAGTATGTGAAACAGCCCAGGGTGGCAGAGATGAAAGCCGAGATTCTGTGTATGCACCGGCCACACTGTGGGGGTGGCTGCCAGGAGAGCCATTTAAGCCATGTTGAGCCCAGCCAAATAGATGTAAGGGAGTGGAGTTTAGCAGCGTCACAAATGAAAGTCATAGAGATTTCAGCAGACGATATTCTTATATTATTATTAATGGCGTTTTATTGCCCAAGAGGCTAATTAAATCTCACCTTATGTTAACATAAATATTCTCTTTGGAATAAATGGGATGATAGCCCCAGTTTGGGCCACGCTGGCCCTACCACACCTGGACTATTCTTTTATATCTTTAGAGGTGCCATGAGATGAATGAGAAATTAGTTTTTAGATACTTTTTGCAATTAGACAGAAAGCAGGGGAATTTCATATCAGAATTGTCCATAGATGACTGGAGATTTGTCAGCAGAGACTGATCCAGGGCAAGGCACGCATGCTGGGCCGCTTACCCTGGTCCGAATCCCGTAGCTACGCTGACCTCGGGATGTTGTTGCTTGGCTTCATTTGAAAGTGTGACGTGGCAGTCTGTGGAGTGATAAGCTTCCAGCAATAGCTGGTCAGTGTGTAATGAGCTCTTCCCCAGCAACCAGGTGTTCGCAGGCTGCTTTGTATTTCCTTGTCAGATCTTTGTACCACTCAGGCTGTTATTTATGTGATATTTTTCTTCAACCCAATTTTATAGTGACCCTGTACTTGGCCTTGGCCCACACAGCAGCAAAGGGAAGCCACTACTTCATCGCTTATATTTTCCTTTGTGTAGTAACTTCAGATAAGAAGGCAGCTACTGAAACTCAAAAAGATACTTTGCATTAAATGTAAAATCTCCGACATTATCTTGCTGCTTGCTAAGGCATCACACCGTAGGAAACTCATGCAAAGTGAGGACCTCAGGGTGAGGCGTCTCTGTCATTTGGATGACATTGGGGCCTTTAGCCAGTGTTTTTAGTCTGTTGGCTCCTTGCTTTCCTGCCTATGAAATAGAGACAAACACCGTTTCTCAGGTGTTTGGTTTTATTTTGTTCTTTTTCAGTTTTAAGTCTCAATGAGTTAGTTGGCATGAAAATGTTTAACACACTGGGCAAATGCACATACTATTTTTGTTTCAAAAAATCGTGGATGGCTGGGGGCATAGCTCAGTGACAGAGCATGCCTAGCGTGCACAAGGCTGGGGTTTCATCCCCAGCACTGCGAAAAAGAGGGTGCAGATGATAAAACTCCTTCGGGAATTTTCTCTTTAACTCTCATACTGAATTGATTTTACTCTTGACATTTGAGGCAGACTCTTGATACAATACAGTAGTATTTAGAACCTGAGAACCTCCTGTTACCCGGGAAGAAATGACAGTGGTTTGCAGCCCCATTTCCAGGAAGAACTGATGGCCAAGTTGTCAATTTTATGTCCCTATCTAGTTCAGGATCTGCTCTCTGAGGATCATGGGTGCAGTCTCCCCGCTACGCCGCAGTCCATTTCAGACCTGAAATCTCTGGCAACTGCCCTGTTGGAGACGATCCATGAGAAAAACATGGTCATTCAGCACCAGAGGCAAACCAACAAGTAGGTGGCTGGACTCTGGGGGAAGCGGGAAGGGAAGAGGCCACCAGCAGGGCGTGGCTTCCGGGTAGAGCCACAGCCTCATGGGAAGAAGGCGATGTCCCTCGGTTCTAAAAGAACACACAGTAGACTAGAGCATGCTTCTCCTTTAGGTCAGCCAGGGTCTTAGCTGTGGGCTGGAGCCAAGCAAAGGGATCATCCTGATGGTCTCTTCTTGGAGACTTTGTGGGGGGCACACGTTGAGTAATGTGTATTACATGGTGATTTCTTGGGTGACTTCCCCTGCCTCTCGCTCAGGTCTGCATTTAGGGCAGACCTGCCTCAGTGGCCATTTCAGCCTGACAACTTGAAGGGCCCTGACTGGCAGAAACCACTCAGGTACTGACTTCAGTAAGCAGCTGGACTTGTAAGGGAGGCTCATGGCTCTCTTCTAGATCAGCAAAAAACAAAACAACCCCATAAATAAATAAGGTGGTGGAAAGAACCAGTACATAAAACAGAAGGGTGTGTGCGTGTGTGTGTGTGTGTGTGTGTGTGTGTGTGTGTGTGTGTGTGTATGTGTGTGTGGTGGGCTGGGGATTAAACCCAGGATCATCAAACTAAACTACATCCCCAGGCTGGGTTTGAGTTTGTGATCCTTGGGGCTCAGCCTTTCAGAGTGCTAGGATTACAGGCTTGTGTTAGCATGTCCAGCTTCTTGGGTTTTTAAAATACATTGGCTATGTTGCGTAGAATCAAGCAAGTTAATGTAAGTTAGAAGCAACAGAACAAAACTGAAAGTTATTCAGATCATGGTGAGTAAAAAGCTAAATTAAAACAAGGGTTACACACATTAGTATACTTTCTGCTCCTATAATTGAATACTTGAGACTAGGTAATTTATTTTAAAAAAAGGAATTTACTAATTTGAGCTCAGGAGGCTGGGAGGCCAAGATCAGGCACCAGCATCTGAAGAGGGCCTTTTGCCGTGTCATCACATAACAAAGGACATTTTGTGGTGAGACACGGTGCATGCCCTGGCTCAGTCACTCTTCTACTAATGACCATGCCTCCCCCCCAGGACTTCATCTCCTCCTAATCACCCCTGAAGCTCCCACCCTTCGGCTCCCATTCATTTGGGAATTTGGGTAGCACATTTGCATCACAGGAAGGCTTGGCGGTCTGCTGCCTGCCTCAGGGGCCGGGATCATGGTCTGATGCTCTGCCATCGCTAACCTAAAATTTAGGAGCAGAGTTCATTGTTTACTCTGCAGATTCAATAGTAGGTGAGTCCAGCTCACAGGCTGTATGCCCACCAGAGCCAGAATGGATCCTGGGAAGATCTGTGCTTCGAACCACAAGGGGAGGAGCAGAACTGTGTGCTGCGAGACAGACCACTAGAAGGAAGATGATTGAAAGTATTGTAAAAACAAAACAGAAAAAGGAAAAAGACGGAGTCTGGGTAGACTGCAGGAGAGATCAAAGTGTATGTGGCAGGAAGGGAGGAGCGGTGACAGGAGGCCGGCCTGCTCCTGAGGGTGACAAGGGTGACCTGTGTCTGTGGTGCACAATGAAACCTTAACTAGGAAGCCTCCCCATGCCGCCGCCGAAGGGCAGACGCAGGGAGGAGGAGGGAGTTGCACTTTTGCATCCTGCTGGCCTCCGCCCCTGCCCAGGATCTGCTGCCGAGCACGGTGGGCCTGCTTGGTCCTTCTTCCCCACAGAGCACCTGGCAGGGCTGATCTGTTCTCAGCAGGTGACCTCAAGTGACCTCAGAAAAACAGGGGTCACTCAGCATGCGCCCGTCTTCCTGCCACTGCCCTGAAACCTGCAGCCTGCCTGTGTCTTCCTCCCTCAGCTCCTCCTGTCTCAGCATCTGTCACCTTCGGTGGCTTTGCTCTCCTGCCACCTCCTCTTTCAGCCTCTTCAATTCCTCCCCTCGGCTTGTACTGCTTCACCCTGAGCCCAGAAACCTGCTGCCTCCCTAGGAATTCTGGTCCCCTGGCTTGCTCCAAAAAGGGCCACCTGGACTCTTCAGTGGCCCCTGCGAAAGTGTGTCCTGGTGGTCACCTCTGGCAGAGTGACCTGGGAGGGACGCTTCATTAGAAATGTGGGGGGCATCTCTAAGCTTAGGGGAGCTCATGTGCAGGAAGACATACGACCTTGGCTTGCTACCTCCTGACTTCTTCCTGCAAATTCTACTCAGTTCTCTGAGTCAGTCGCCAGGGTCCCCAGAGTCCGCCTTTGAATTTCTTCCTTCTGTAATTCCTCCACTTCAGGGCGCCATCTTGAAATTTCCCTTTGAGCCTCCAACCGTCTCTGTGGTCTCACTTCCTTCCCTCTGCTCGCCCCCCAGCCCAATCCTGCAGGACCTCTTTTTTCATTTCTTGCTCCGTTTTCCCCTCCCTGCTCCAAGACCTCATGCTCTGTCCCTGCCTTTGCCTCTCACTCTCTGCAGACTCTCCTTATATCTTTGTCTCTACCTCTCCATCAAGGGCCAAGTTCTCATGTCCAGCTGCGAGGTAGACAGTTTCTCTTAGTATCCTCACAGCTCTTCCTACTCAACAAAGCTAAGGCTCAGAACAACCTTTCTGAATTTAATTACCTGCCCTTTGTCCTGAGTGACCTACTTCTAGGAATTTGTCCTGAAGGAAAAAAATCAGATGACCCCCTAGAGGTGTAACCCTAAGGTTATTCACTCTAGAGTCCTTTGTAAGAGTGAAGACATGGAGTCAGCCCGCGGATCTGTTCACTGGAGAATGCAGACTTAAGAGTCCAGCTAGAAGACGGAGAAGAACACACCATTTACAGTGTGCTTTGAAGAACATTTCTTGGAGGTTGGACAGAGTCTGCATCACTCAGGGCAGAGCTGCTCCAGGCTGGGAATGTTTGTGCCTGTGATGGTCACTCCACTTCTCTAGTGCATTGCACAGTGCTGGCTCCTGTGAGGGCACATGTGGGTTTCATGGATGGATGATCGACTATCTTCTAACCCTCTGTTCCTGTACCCTTAATGCCCACATCCTCATGGTGTTCCGGCTGGGTGGCATCCTGAGTGTGTGTCTCTGACATACCTTTCCTGAACCTGGACCTTCAGGAACCCCGCCTGTGTGCCCCCTGTCGTCTGCCTCACAGACCATCACCCTCCTCAGGGTCCAACCCCTCCTCTCCTCCTCTCCTGCATGCTTCCTGCACCGCGGTGCACACCTGCTGGCCACAGTGCCGAGTGCCTTCCCCAGCCTTTTTTTTTCATTTATTTTGAGATGTTCCCCCTAAGTTGTGAATTTCGAGGCCAAGTTCAGAGTCTGTGGTTGTCTCACACCCTGTCACCTGGATCCTGGGTTTCAGTGAGTGGAGCATGGTAGACGAGACTGCTTTGAGATGAACTGTGTGTCCTCGAACAAATTGCTTAACCTCTCTGTTCCTCAATGTCCATGTGTGTGGAGAAATATCAATACAATGTCCTCTACAAGGTCTTTATCAACTCAGACGAGTAATGCCAGCCAGACAGGTGTTCCGTGTGACCTATGCCTCATATGAGGACACAGGAAAGATTAGTTGGCTGTTTCTGTTCACAGCAGTACAGTTGCTTTGTTGATTTTGTTATTGTCACTATTACAACTATCACAACTTCTTCTGGGCCCATTTTCCTACCTCTAGTCCTGCCTCAGATGTGGGGAAGTTGATAAGAAAGCACCTGTTACTGACCCTTGGACACAGTCCCTGGAAGCAGGTTGTTGGGGCACCAGTGAGTACATGGGGTTCCATTTCTGGGAGAAATGGCCTGTGTTGCCCAGGAATGCCAGAGGAAATAGAACCAATTGTGTCTGCACTGCGCCCTCACACATAGCCCAAGGGGCACCCTCAGCACCCCAGCAGAGTGCCTTTTGTTTCTGAGAGGCTACTGAGAACAGATGATGTGATGTCCTTAAGAAACAGGCATCGCGTTGAGCACGGTTGCGATTGTGTCTCTAGACCGTCAGCTGGTGAAAAGGAGCCAGGGTCAGGGGTCTGAGCAAAATGTGGGAGTGAGGTTAGGGGACCAGTGACCAGGAGGGCCAGTGACCCGGCAGCAAAGAGGCCCAACAATGTGATGAGGTGGGAAGTCACTGATAAAGATTGGGCAGAATTTTAAAACTAAAGAAAAGAAGAAAACTGTAAGTACTCAGCCGAGGGAAACTACATACAGTAACACAGAGTGTTCCACAAACTCAAAGGGAATATTAATTAAGATGCTGCAAGTCATTTCAGGTAAAATAAGGATGAATCCAAAGCCATATATATGTGCAGACCTATACATATTCATGCCTCTCTACGTATGTGGGTGTGTGCTGCTATCTCTGGAATCTAAAGAAAGGTAGGAGAATAATTCTGCTGTTCTGATTTATCCTGCTGAAAGGAATTGAAACTTGGCTATCATGGTGATTTCCACATCATTTTAATACAGCAGTGCCAAGAAAATCCCCCAAATAAAATAGTCTACTTTTTCAATTTCCAGGCCAATAGAAAGTGATTGAAGTTTTTGATGAATATCAAATCATTTCCTGTGTATATTTAATTGTGCATAGAGGAAAGATACATGTCCATATCTATAGCTACCTGTGCATATAGACAAAGTTTGGCTTCCGAGAATGTATTTCAATCTATATCCAGAACCTGAAATATCACCTCAAAAGCAACATAATGTATTGTGCTGATTCTGAAATTTCTAAAAACTCCTCTGAAATACTTATTTAATTCTCTCCATTGATAATTATAAATCATGAAAGAGAAAAGCACTTATTTAACCAAATGTACTTCTGGAGCATATATCCTGGACGAGGCGTTGTGCTGAACATCCAGCCTTTGGGCAGGCCTGGGACATAGGTGGGTCTAAAAATGCAGATCTTACCAGTTTTGTCACTTAAAAGACATTATCAAGCGTGTTCATCCATCTAACTTGTTAAACTCAGTTGTTGCCAGAAACTTCACTCCACCCTTGAAGAGTCAATTAAAGGTAATCCAGATTGTTGTGTTTAACCATGAGCAATTCTCAAATAGGAAATTCCACGAGAATGGAACTTCCCAGGGGAGCTGTGTGTTGGAAGAGGCCTGGCTTGAATGGTACACAGAGATAGATACAGATATATACATAGATACGGATGTAGATATAGGTAGACACATATGCACACACTTACACAGTCATTCACCCTAGTTTCTACTTTCCTGTGTGACTCAGCGGAATACATGTTACACATGTACATATATACATGTGTTCCATCTTTAGCACTGATTTTGCATTTTAAACCGTTTTTATCTCTATTCAGGTACTTTTGGGTTTCCCTGGGAGCCACCTCTCAGCCCTGAGGGTTGACAGATTACTCATTGATCTGCTGTCATTTTCTCCCCCTTTCCAGAATCCTAGGGAATCGAGTAGCAGAGTTGGAGAAAAAGTTACGAACTCTGGAGGTTTCTGGTTTGTGGAGTCTTCCAGGTAAATGGAACTTTATGAAAACTGCTTGTTTTTAAACAGAAGCTCTCATACAATTTGCAGAGAAGAGTCTACCATTTTAAAGGCTTTTATTTGTAGATCACTGCTGAAAAATCTACAAGTTTTTAAACTTAGAAACCATCAGAGAAAAAGACAGAATCAGAAAATACAATAAAATTTAACTTCTCATGTAGGGGACACTGAAGTTCTGCTAACCTAAATTCTGAAATGGTCATTGTGTGTGTGTGTGTGTGTGTGTGTGTGTGTGTGTGTGTATCCTTTTTGAATATAATGAATTGTTTCATTTTTTACTGGTAGGTATTTTCTAAAGATTTGTTCCATGTAATCATCACTCCTAAAATGAATGTGAGAATATACAAAGATTTGTGCAATTTAATCATCAGTCCTAAAAATGAATATAAAGATCTTACAAAGATTTGCTCAATTTAATCATCAGTCCTAAAATTGAATGTAAGCACATACAAAGATGTGTTCGGTTTAATCACCGGCACTAAAAATGAAGAGCCAACAGTTTTTCTAGCCCAGTGTATTTCACAACCACCCTCTCCTGCCTCCTGCCATCCCATTTTTATGCAGCCTGAACACAAAACTTTCCCGGAGAATTTTCCCCCTACGTTTGCCCGACGTGTGAGGAAACTGATTTTCTCTTTAATTAGCTGCATTTATCCCATTTATCGTGGTAAAATACCCCTTTCAGGAGACCCCTGGCAGCTATTCCCCACTCTTTAGAAACTTGTATTTATCATTTTCTCCCACCTCCTCTTTCCCTGGAAGGAAGGATGTATTTTTAGTTGCTTACCCTTTCCGCGCAAAGCGGTCCCCTGGCCCCTCGGCTCGCGTGGGCTGCTTGCCTGTCATGGATGAGAAATGAAAATTGTACACGGAGGTGGCCAGCATCCACTTTTCTAACATGTAAATCTGAGTGGCCACCTTTGGTGGCCTGGAAGTGTGTTTCATAAATTGGAATTTTGAGCCCAGATTCCTTGAACTTGATGTCAACAGACCTGCCAGAAGTAATTAGTGGCAAGCGCTGTCTGGGGATCTGAGTGATTCGTTTGGCACAAGGCGCTTCGGATACTGCTCCAGCCCATTTGCCGTGCAGCTTTTCTCTTCCTGCACCAAAGCCGGGCGAATGTGGCGCTCGCTTGTGGAATCAGGTTGCCATGTCTGTGCATGTACACACCAGAGTTTTGATGTTTTTTCTTCTCAAAATGACTTAGTGAAATTTCTCGCTATTTTGTTTCTATAATGTACCTAAAAAGAAGTTGACGAAGGGGACACGTGCGAGAGTGTGCTGCCTGGTGGTGCGGGGCCAGGTGCCGGCTTCCAGGCAGCGTGGCGGTAACACTTGTTTCTCTCCTTCCTCTCGCTGCCTGAAGGCCTGAGCTACAATGTTTCCGTAGGATTCGGCAGTATGTTCCTTTTGAAATCTGTGTTTCCGTGGCTAACATCAGCGCGCATTCTGTCATCCCTGCATTCTGTGTTCCCTGCATGTAAACACGCGGAAATCCATTATCTGTGTTTCCTTGGGCTTTCCTGACTAGAGTGGCAGATTCAATTAGTACAAAGCAAATACGAAAGAACAACTTTAGCTCAGGGGGACTTGCCTGGGTGCACGCTGTGTGGTGGCCATGGTTGTCCCAGGCTCTGACCTCAGTGAGCTACAAGGGGTGAGGACAGGAGGAAAAGGGGGTTCTCCAGCGGCGGTACAGTTTGTGTAAGACAGTGACGTCTTCTTGGCATATGAGGAGGGACGTGCAGAGAGAGCCTCACACGAGGGTGCGTTCTGGTATCTCCAGTCCCTCAGGACTAAGGGCAGGGGACGCCTCTCCCAGCGTGAGTCAGATGAGACCCTTTGCGCTCCTTGTCTTCCGTGTCTCAGTGGAGTGAGAAGCAGTGTGCTCCTTTCTGCCTCCTCCTCCCCACTTCCTCCTTCCTCTTCTTCCCTTTTCTCATCCTTTCCCCGAATAGGAACCAGATCACAGTGTTTGACCAACAGGAACACAGAGAATTAACTCTCTCTTGCTTAGCAGCATCTTGAAAGGGTCCGTGTCTCCTCCTATGGACCAGCCCATCAGTGTGTGGATGCCTTCCTAAGCATCAACTTTGTGAATCAAATGCGGCACCAGGCACTCTGTTCATGCCTCTCACCCTCCTGAGAACCTGCAGTCCAGTTAGGGAAGCAGATGAATATACATCAGGCAGTAACAGGAAAGCAGAGCTCAGTGAGTAATAAGAATATTAAGATGTAAGGGTTGGGGAGTCATTGAATGCTTATCCTAGAAAGATTGTTGAGAGCTAAGGATGGCATAGATCACGTAACAGCCATTCCAGGGCCCATGGCAGACATTGCTAATCCATCACTTTGTTCTTCCTTAATGATTGCGGACCTGGCCCTCAGAGTGTTCCTCCACAGGGGCTTTCCAGGAAGTCACCTTCGGTCAGAGCTGACATGTGAGACAACACACTCCCCTTTCTAGATCTCTCCTTGTTTTAGATGACGAAACTGAGGCAGAACATGAGCCGATTCCTGAGGCCACAGGGGCCCGCATGATTGCAGGTGTTCAGATTCTCCTGTTGGTGACCTTCAATTGGTGTACAGTTTTAAGGAGGGAGCAGGGAGGCAGAGCAGGGCAGCTGGACAGTGGCTCGCACAGCAAGGAGGGTTGCAGGAAGAGAATTCACGCCCAGAACAATCTCTTCAGTGACTCCAACAGGCAGCAGTAGAAGAGCCTGCCCACCCCTTACTGAACAGCAGATATCTCTTGGACGTTCGCCTTCTGTGAGTTTTCTTCTTTGACTCTCCTCTCCCTCCCTCCTCTCTGAGTCCATGCAATAGATCTCTTGTTGTTGCTGGAGATGGGCATGATGTGATCTTGCTGAGAAGCAGACATGTCTGACAAATGTCACAGCAAGTAGAGAGAGGTCATCTGGATGGCAGGGCCTATCCCAAGTAGTGTAACCTGTCTCAGGGGAGCCGGAAGGTGGGCCTTGCCAGCCGCACCTGTTAGCGAAGATCGCTTCCCAGCCTCCCCAGCTCGCCAGCTGCCGGCCCGGACTCAGCCCTTGTCCACCTCTGCGGGGAGAATAGTGCTGGGGAACTCTGAGGGGAGGCTCCTGGATGTGTTCATGGCTTAAAAGAAGAAAGAAAGAAAGAAAACGAAACACAGAAAGAAAAAGGAAAGGAACGGAAAGAGAAAAGGGAGACAGAGAAAGAACCCGGCTAGAGCAGAGCCTGGCTCTTTGAGCTTTTTATTTGTCCCCGCTCTATGCACTGACCCAAGAAGGAAACTATGTGGTTTAAAAGTGCTTAGTGCATTCTGGAGAAGGAGGGAAGATTTCTGTGCCACAAGGAATCAGGAGAGCTGAGTGTGGTGGTGCCTGCCTGCAGTGCCAGCCCTCTGAGAGACTGAGGCAAGAGGATTGCAAATTAGAGCCCAGCCAGGCAGCTGAGTAAGATCCTGTCCCAAGATAAAAAATCCAAAGTGGGCTGAGAATGTAGCTCAGTGTGAAAGCCCCTGTTTCATTCCCCAGTACCGGGGGGCAGGGGGGATCAGGAGAACTTCTGGAAAATGAAGCTTACTTTAGCTTGACTGGAGTTTGTAGCTTGACTCCCTCCCCCATCCCTTTCTTCTAGACTTAGGAGCCAAATGGAAGTACAAGATATCAGATCATCAGATTAGGGCTTAATTTAGTCAACACAGATGGAATCTGGAGACAATAGAACTAAGTGCCTTCTAAGAAAAGTTTTTGAATGCTTCAAACATTTGGCAAGAATGACCTGGCATTTTACTTTACAATCAGCCACTACTCTCTCCAGGGAAAAGGCTGGCAATGTTATTTATCTTCTCCTCAGCCCTCACTTTGATTGGCCACAGACAAAGGATGCTCCTATTTCCTTCCTCTACAAGCTCACGGCTCAGATTTATGGAGAGGTTTTAGAAAGGTTTTGCTAGGACCAGCATTGGAGCACCACTGTGGTGTGGAGAACAACCCTGTGGTTGGGTGGGGCCACGGAGACATTGCACCCTGAAGAATTCCTTTTGTGGGGAAGGACTAAGGACCTGCCAGAGGCTGCCTTCACCGCTCACCTAAAGACAGCTCCTGTATTGCCTGCACTCGTGATTCTTTGCCTTCCAAGGCAGAGGAGTGTGGGAAGGCTGATTGGGACATCGAGGGAAGGAATCTCCCAAAGGCTGATTGGAACATGGAGGGGCAGAGTCTCCCAAAGGCTAGAGAGCTGCCAGACCACCTGCCAAAGAAACACAGCTCAAGAAATGCTGTCCATGACTTGTGGGCAGATGGTGTTTCTCTGGTGGAGAGAAACAAAAGAAATCAAGCATGAACCACCTGCTCTGCATTCATGCTGACCAAGGACTGATCACCATGAATCCATCAAGGTGCTTCCAGACTGTATCTTTGCTGCATGTGGAGAAGCCTGATCCTGCTGACTTTATGCTTATAGGCTCCTATCAACATCCTGAGCACCAAATTAATAGTTCTCTTTGGGAATTCTTTGCAGACTGTGGCCCTAAAGATTTCTAGTATTTTATACAGAAGACAATACATGTGCTGGTGCAGAACCTCAGGGTCAGCTCCTAGTCTTTGGGAATGATTCTTGGCTAGCAGAGTAACCGGAGACTGAGGCTGCTGGCCCATCTGCCTGAGGTAGCAGTGGTGCCCACGCTCACCAGGACTCCTAAGAATAATTTGTCAGCTAGTTGTTCAGACATTTATTAAGTACTTACAATGTGCAGAGGTCTCCTACAAAGCCTTGGAAATAAAGTTAGTAAAAGACACAGCCCAATGGGAGGACAGTATTATTAATGTGTAGTGGGGCCCCCTAAAATTGTATCCGACCTTTATCTAGTTCTCCAAAGAAGTAGTAGGCATCTTAACCCAAATGTCATTCTGTGGTTGGCTGAACTGACACAGAAACACTGCAGGACTTTGGAGCCTCTGATCTGAGCCTCAGAGATGTTCCTGGGTTGGCTTTATACTGCTTTAGAGATGGTCTTTCCTAAACTCAGACAGGTAAGATTTGCTGGATTAGTGACCCCTGGGCCTTTATTTCTGGCACAGTGAGAGAAGCCCAAAGCCTCACGGTCAAAAACTCAACATCATGTGCTCCCTGGTGGGCTCTCCTGACCTCTGGGACTGTATCATTTTATGTCTGTGTACTTTGTGTCTGGTATCTACCCATCATGTTCATGTTCAAAGTCACTGCCCCCTGCTCTTTGCCTTCATAGTTTACCATGGCTTCTAGCATGGGGCTGTCGTGGTTTTCTTTTTCTTATCCTAATTATCCCAAGCTTTTCTATCTGTGCGGGGAGCTGTTACTAGTAGGCAGAAGAGCATGGCTGGATTGGCACTCTATGTTCTAAGTGGAAGTTCAGCTGGAGCAATCTGGAAGACTTGATACTATCTGACTTAATACACAGTTACTACTCAATCTAAATGGCCAAGGGAATCCAATCAGATATAGTGTACATGGCAGCCAACACTAATCATTCAACAGGTGACATCAGCCAAGTGCTGCCAACACACCCAAACACTTGGCATCAATCAGTCCATTTCATCTTCAACACCATCCAAGAGGTGGGCTGTTACACTCCTCCCTCGCTTTGAAGATGAGGGATGTGAGGCCCAGAAAGATGAAGTGACTCTCTTGATGTCACTTTCTTGATGTTAATAGCAAGTGACATTGTCTAGAGCACACAGCAGCGTAGAGCCCCCAAAACCTCTGCTCCCAAGCCCTCTGTTGTCATTATATTATTTTGGTCTCATCCACTCCGTTTTGGGGAGATGCACAGGCTGCCCATCAACAGTAGCGTGAGCCAGCATCTGTGCCTGGGTCAGCTGTCAGGAAAGAGTCAGGGTGTGTCCACAGGCATCTGGCCTGGACCTCACAGCTCCATCCTCACCCTACAGAAAGGGCCTGCTGGCTGTTCCCCAATGTGTGGCTGCAGGAAAGAAAGGCCCTAGTCCTCAGCCAGTTCATTATGTAGCTAGAAATGCAACCTGGCTCCACTGGCGACATACCCACCCATTCCCCTTTCCTGTTACAGGGGGCAAGGACACCATACTGTTCAGCGACCCTGCTCTTTCTACCGTACAAAGGTCAAGGTCCCCACTGCTGAAGTTTGTTGAGCAGCCCACGGAGAACCAACCAGATCCCAAGGGTGGTAAGTGTATTGGTCAGCCTTCTCATCGCTGAGCACGACCCTTAACACTGACAGTTTAAAGGATGAAAGGCTACTCACATGTAGATGGCACTCCAATCCAGTGGATTCCGTCCATGGCTGGCTGGTTCCAAGGCAGACATCATGGCAGAATGGTGTGGCACGGTAAAGCTGCTGTGCTCATGGTGGCCAGAAAACAGAGGAGGGGACCAGTGCCAGAGAGCAATGGCTGAGGGGCCATCGATAGGACCTGCGGTCACACCTCCATGACCCATCCAGACACACCCAGGGCTGTGCTTTATTAATCGGCATGAATGAGCTTACGATATTTCTTAGTCCAGTAAAGTTGACACAGCGGGACTAAAGGTCACAGTAAGTACACCTCAGTTTCTCTGTCTTTGCCGGGCCTGTGCCTACCTCAGAGAAAGGTCTCAGGGGCCTCAGGTCTCTTCCCTCCTACAGCCTCCGTGACATCATCCAGGCTCTCACATGTCCTCTTGCTGCTCACCTGGGGTCATCTTGTTGGGTGGTCCCAGCAGAGCTCTGCCCTCTAGTGTCGTAGAGATTACAAGGAAGGATTTACAAGGTGAATAGAGTTTATATTCTAGTCCCACAGCATAGTGGCTGGAAGAATGTGGGCTAGTGACTCAGGTTCCTCTCTGTAAAGTGGTGACATGTGCTTGGAGCTTTGCTTGTGTGTGGTGAACAGGGACCAGTGGACTGAACAGGCTATCTCCTCTGCCAGGCACACAGTTTTAGAGGACATTAAAGACCCATTTAGGGGACCAGATGAAGCAACCAGCTTGATACCAGATCTTTTCCCATATGGCAGTTTTGTTGCTCCTGTGAAATTCTGATTAGTTGTGCTGTTGTGGCTACAAAATATCCTGGTTCAACTCAAAACATTTACCATTCGCAGTCATTTTGACTTTGGGGAAGAGCCACCAGTCCCATGGAGCCGGATGGAGCTGGTGAAGACGGTGGTTGAGGACTCACTAATGTTTGTACAACACTGCCTTTCTGTTGGATGGCCCTTGACAACACTGTTAAGCGTGTTTTTTAAAAGTAATTCATAGAAGCATTTGCCAAAAAGGACTTCCAGAACTGCTTCAGAAAGTGGCAAGAACGATAGAATAAATGTGTCCACAGCAAGGGGAAATATTTTAAGAGGCATTAATGGCCTGGTGTGTTTTCTTTTTTTTTTTTTTTTTTTTTTACTGTGGAACTTTCTTTAAAAAAAAAAAAATCAGTGTCTATTTTGACCAAACCTTATATTCTCAAAGTATTTCCCTCTTCTGGGTTCCATCTGCCATTATAATTCCATAGTCCCCAGAATCTGAACTTCCCCAGTGCATATTCTGTATTTTCTCAACGTCACCCACTCTCTGGTCACTTTCTTGAACACTCTGGATTGAAACCCGGGAGTAGCTGACTGTTTCCAGCCACCCTTACCCAGCCACGTCTGGCCGGTAGCTAAGCTTTCCTGCAGTTTCAGCGCCTCGGTCCCGCCCACCCACCGTGGGCTGGTTCAGGTCCTGCTGACTTCCTGGCAGGCTCTCTCCTTGATGTGCGGTCTCTCAAGGTTCTTGCTTCATTCCCATCCTCATCACTCTGCTGCAGGACAAAGCCACTGAGATAGTTTTCCACCTTGCTTGTTCCCTGTTCAAAGTGGTGTTCAGCCATCTTGTGCTTAAGATCCTGACTCCAGCTTGGCCTAGCGCACCTTTCTAACCTTACGGTCAGCTCACTTTTGACCAAAGTGACATAGCCAGCTCTGTCAGTTAGCCATTACCATGTAACAACCCACCTCAAAACTAGGAGCTTAAAGCAACCGTCGTGTGGTGTTGGAGGATCTGGAGTCTGGCTCAGACGAGAAGTTCTGCTAATCTGAGCTGGGCTTGTCGAGCTCACTCATGCATCTGTACAGCTGTATCTTGAAACCTGCTCGCTTCACTCATCACAGTGAGTGAGTGGTAAATGTACAATCCAGGACGCGTCTAGAGTTTCCCCAGATGCTTGTGAGGGGGATTCCTGGAGAGCGTCCCTAACTCTCCCAGGTGCCACACTGGCCTGGGTCTTTGCAGCACACAGCATATAAGGCTGCCCCACAATGCACCAGGGCCCACATCTTGGCTGGTGGTCATCCTGCGGTGGTGCCCAGTGTCCACATGGAGGCCCAAAGCCTGCGTCTGTTCTGGATTTCTCAGCCTCTGTGGAGGGGTTGAGGGAGCAGGGGGCTGGGCCTGCTCATGAAATGGAACAGGAGCCCGGCTTGATTTTCACAAGGCTGCTGTAAGTAATGGACTGATTCAAAATGATAGCTTCCAGAATTCCATCATTAGCTCTCATTGTTCCAACCTCATCCTCTGCTGGCGCTGGGCGGGGACAAGGGTGCATCATGTAGCATCAGGGATGGCCCATCATTGTGGCAGCCCTGATTAATTCCAGCCGAAAGCAGCACATACTCAGGAGGACAAAGACCATCAGAGACCAGCTCACAAAGGCAGACAAATGTCCTCTTTAGGCTAAAGGGAGGGGACACATCTTTAAGGGTCTCGTCATCTTTTCTACAAAGCAACACTATTTTCTTTTTTCCTCTTTTAGAGAAAAACATACTTTTCTTTCCACACTGTTTGTGTCTTAGTGCATTTGTGTTGCTGGACTGCCTCATCATTATTGATATATATTATTAATAAGTATTAATAATAGTAATTCTGTTTGGTAAAACAGCACAGAATAATTGTTGTTATTAGCCATAATATTTTCTGACTCTTAATTCGGAAGTCTTTTATGGAAGTAGCAGTGCTATGAGTTTATAGTTAAAAGAAAATTAAAATTTCTGGAGCTGAAGAGTTACTGTTCCAGAATCTTAGTATCAGAGAGAGGTTGCATTCCCACACAGAGCACCCAGGAGCCCCAGAGGCAGCACAACCATTGAGATGCCTTGAGGAACTTTTCCTCATGTCCTGATAACTTGAATATATTTTGCAGGAGGGGCGAGAAGGTTGGTAAACCCTGCTGTTGGTCAGTCAGCCAGTTCCAGTGTCTGGCCCCTGAATCTTCATGGTGCCAAGGCTCTGAAAGCCCAGCCTGTCTCAGAAAAAGTAAATGCCCAGTAGGACCAAGCCGTAGTGCTGCCTCCTGTGCTCATCTCTCCCCATGCTGTGGCTGCATCGTAACCTATAATGGCGACAGCCCCATTACAAAAAAGCTAAACACTTCTCTCCAGCGGTCTCAGAGGTTTGCCATTTAAAAACAGATCCATACATTTGGACATGAGCAGAATGTCATCTCAAGAGACGGCACAAGGGAAAAATACCAATGACCAGAAAGCCTTGGTATAATTTAGGCCACACTCCCTTAGATGTAAATGAAGATTCACCTAACCCATGGTTAAAAAAAAACCCAACGCTGCAAATGGTTTACAGGTTACATTGTTATGAGTAAGGTTAATTAATTTTTCAGGGACACCAGAATATATTATTAAGTGTCCTGGAAGAAGTAATTTCATAAGAGTAATTTCCAGAAGGAGTTTATTCACCTCATGTTGGTAAAAAAATTTAGTGCAGAAAGTACCGTAATTTACTTCTTTTGAATAAAGCTTCCCCACACGGCTGGGACTCGCTCACTCTGACCCACTGTTTCTCATGTTCCCTCTACAACACCATAAAAATTTTCATTTGTTAGTTCAAAATTTATGTGATGGCTTCCCTGCGCTACCTTAGAGGTAGCTCAATGTTTGTGTAAATTAGAAATCTTTTTCTTTTTTCAGAAAGTAGCTTTTTAAGAACTTTTAGGGTTGCAACCTGGAACCAATCTGAATACCATAAATTCAAAGATTACTCTCCTGTATTAATGTACCTAATATAAAAATGTCTGCTAAGACATTCATTTGTTCATGCATTCATGTATAAACCCATATATTCATACATTTAATGAGCTATATAAGCAACTACTGGAGAATATTGGCAACGTTAAAAATTGAGTGGGCAAGATTTTTTTACTTAAGGTAGTGATAAGTAGCAATTTGGGGGGGAAAATACAAAGTATTAAGCTCTTTAGGAGGTGCAGATACAGCCTTGTAGGAAGTCAGACACTGACGTTATGACCTGTGAACAGATTTAATGAAATAGGTTTCATGGAGGAGATGGAGAAACGGCTGACTTGCAGTTTATCACTCAACATGGAAAGAAACCATAGTCCTGGGGTGGAGAGATCAAGCACCTGAGCAAAGGCACTGGGGTAGGGTAGCAGCCCATGAAGGGATGATATGGTTGGAGCATGGGAATACAAGATGTCAGGGTAGCAAGTAGAAAGAGATGAGTGTTAGGTCATAGAAGGTCGTTAGAACCAGAGGAAGAGCTTAGGCTTTGTTCCTGAGGCACTGGTAGCCTTTGAAGGTTTTATAGCTGGGCAAAGGCATGGTAGGATTTGTACTTCAAGCTTGCTGTGTTTCTGCACCTATGTGAACTGGGATCTTATTAAAACACAAATTCTGAACCTGTCCACAAGGGCAGGGCCTGAGACTCTGCATGTCTAACCAGCCTCAGGGTTGCACTGCTGTGGCTGCAGCTGCTGCTGCTGCTGACCTTTGGACCCCATTGTGAGCAGCGAAACTTTAGGGAAGGTCCTTGGAGGAGGCTGGAAGCCAAGGAACCTGTTAGGATTTGACATGCATCGTTACCCTGGCTGGCCAGATCCAAATAGGAATTGTTTCTAAAAGTCAGGCTTGCTCCACTCTTCATATGTACACAGATTTCCATTATGAGCACAGCAGTCTGGTGTCCAGGTACAGTTGTTAGTAGAGAGCAGTGCAGATTTGCTTATAGCTGAATACAGACTTTTGAAAGTATAAGGTGGATTTGGCTGGAAATCTGTATCTGAGATTCATCTACGGTCATCAGAAATGTTAAAAAAGAAATGGCAGTGTCAAAAGCCAAAGGGATCCTTGTGATGAGAGCAGTGAGGTTTGGGGCCAGCAGCCAGGACCTGCCGTGCTCAGTTGACCACAGCCTGCAGGGAAAACAGCGTATTTGTTGTCTCACGTGATCACTGTCTCTTCCTCCGTGCTCCATCCGCATCCTGCAGTTTCGTTTCCATCCTGCAGTCCACCTCGTGTCACTGTTTCATTTCTTCTAGCATTCCTCAGCATATATGTTTTTTAATCAGGGTTCAGCCATTTAAAAATGTTAAAACTTTAATTGGTATATAAACATTGTATATTGTTATAATTCGTGTCTGAATGTCTGCTCAAAGCCTCATGTGGTCATGGGAGGTGGGCTTCTCAGAAGCTGCTAACTCTAGAGTTTATGATTGATTCATGGTCCAATGGTGAGATTAAGGATATGAGCGCTACACCTGCCCTAGGGCAGGCAGCCTGTGTACAATATAAGGAACAGAAAAAAGTTTGTCTCTAGTTGCTTTTGGTGTCTTCTGCTACCAGGAACTGTTGTTGCTCCTTTGTCATGTGCTGTCCTGCTTTGGAACCAGTCAACTATGGACTGAAATCTCTACAAACTGTGAGCTAAATAAACCTTTCCTCCTTTAACCTTGGGTATCAGATATTATGGCTCAATGATAAGAAAAGTAACTATATATATATAAAACTATATATATATATAAAAGTAACTATATATATATCTTATGTTTCATATATACTTTATACACATAGAATCACTATGACAGTGTGACATTTCAGTAAATGTTTAAAGATCACTTCAGAGTAATTGGTATATCCAGAATCTTAACTGCTTAGAGAGAGAGAGAGAGAGTGTGTGTGTGTGTGTGTGTGTGTGTGTGTGTGTGTGTAACATTCAAAATCCTCTGTTTTAGCAATATGTGAATAAACTTTATCAACTCCATAACCAGTCTTAAATTTCTTAAAACTAGAAGTATATATTAGGTAAACAAATGCTAAAAAAAGGCATTTAGTTATTTAGTTAAATAAACAAATGTTCAAAAACACATACTAGTCATTTCATAAATACTTCAATGCATTGTATTTAAATTAAAATGAGTAACAGACAATAATTTTACATATTATAGAAATTTTAAGCTGCATTTGAACACAATCTAGCAGAATCTTGCATTATTAGACTAGTAATACAAGCATGCAAAAAAAAAAAATAGTGCAGAAAAGTGAAATTAAGGTTAAAGCCTTCCTGTACTCTTGCTGCGTGCCCTGGCCCTCTGACTTCTCCCCAGGGGTAACCTACACCTTTAGCCTACAGGTTGTACATCCCTAATCTGAAATCTGAAATGCTCCAAAATTGGAAATTTGGGCATCACTGGATACCACAGGTGGAAAATTCCACAGCTGGCCTCAGCTGACAGGTTGCAGTGAAAACACAGGCTAAAAATACAGTTTACTTCCAATATTATGATTATGTATAAAGTATATATGAAACATAAATGGATTTCATGTTTAGACTTTGGTCCCATCCTCAAGAGATCTCATTATAGTGTATATATGAAAATACTCTAAAATCCAAAAAAGTCTGAAATCTGAATCTCTTCTGGTCCCAACATTTCCAGTCAGTTCTTTCCCGTGGAAAGAATTTTACAACTCTGCAAGTGTACTTCCCTTGTTGGTGGCCTCTGAGATCCTTTCTAGGTTTCTACTATTAAAAACAAGATTAGAGTGAGCGTACAGGAATATGTATTTTGACACGCTTAGGCTGATAGCCACAGATAGATTCCTAAGCAGAGAATCACTGTGTCAGGATAAATGCTTTTAAGGTTATGACATATTATCCAAATGGCCTATCAAACAATGTTACTATCTTCTGTTGTCTTACTTTCTAGGATTGTACCTTTTCCCCCTCATCCTTAGCAACACTAAGCTTTATAAAACCTTTGAAATTTTGCCAGTTTGATAGATGAAAAATTAAATCCTGTTGTGACTTTAATTGCTTTAATTATGAATGATGTTGTGAATTGTTTAATGTTTGCTGTCCGTTTGTTTTTCTGTGAATGGCCTGTTTTCATTCAATATTTGTTGAAAACTTGGCAATCCGAGGAACAAATTCTACACACAATAGCATGAGTAAATCTTACAAGCCTCATGTAGATAACAAAAGGAGCCAGACACAAACAAGCACGCCCAGTAAGATTCCTGTATATAAAATTAGAGCCCAGGCAAAACTCCTTTTGGCTTTCTAAATAGGACAGCGGTTACTCTTGGCAGAAGAGAAGGGACTAGGAAGAGGGTCTGGCGCACCGGACTGGGAGGTGTTGAGAGGGAACTGGTGATTTTTTTTTTCAGCCTAGTTATGTGAATGTGTTCACCTTATGAACATTCACTGTGCTTACTACACTGTGGGTCTTGACTGTCCCCCAGAGGCCTCTGTGTTGGAGACTTGGTCCTCAGGGAAGTGCCAGTGGGAGGCAGTGAGACCTTCAAAAGGTGGGGCCTGGTGGGAAGTCTTCAGGTCCCTGGAGGTGTGGCCTTGAAAGGGGTGGTGACGCACAGCCCCTTCTTTACTGTCTTTTGCATCCGCACCATTAGATCAGCTGTCCCTCACACTCCCACCAAAATGTGCTGCCCAACACATAGCCCTGGAGTCAGTGGGCTGGCCGTGGGCTGGGACCCTCTTTCTTTATAAGTTAATCATTGCAGTGTCTCTTATGAGGATGGAAAGCTGACTGGCTCGGAGATGTGTATTAAGATACGTCCACATCTCCCTACAGATGTTATACTTCCATTTTTTTTTTAAAAAGGTATATTTTTAAGCTGTTCTGTATGTTTAGAATATGTTAGTCTTGTGGATTTAAGGATTTAAGTTCTAGAATAAGAACTTGGTACATTCCCTAGCACAAAAGAGAATCCAACAAGTGTCGGCTGGGAGTGGCACGTATGGAGATTTGAAGGGTGTGTCCCCTGGCTGGGAGGACAAGCATATGTGGCCAAACTGAGAAATGAGGCTGGAGAGCAAGGCAGGAGCAAATCAGAGGGCCTTGCCGAGGACCCAAGGGAAGGAATCACAGTGGGTCCCGGTCAGCAAGGCCCTGATAAAAGGCTGTAAGCAGAACAAGCCTTGTCCAAACATGCTCAGCTCCTTCCTGAGCCTCCCGCAGTGCTGCAGCTCCCCACTGCCCAACCTGCAACCTGCTAATGCCCTTCCTACATCTGATAGCAAGCCTGATCACAGCAGGGCTCTGCGGATCCATGCAGGAGTGCCAGGGAGTACACCCAGGCCGTGCTCCCTAGGCCAGGACCTGTGTACAGGCTAGAACTAGGCCACCTCTGGCCCTTTCACGATGCTTACTTCATCAGTGTTTGGTTTCTGTAAGACACAGAGCCAGGTGTTGAATGCACGTAGCCAAGCAGTAAGAGTGACCCTGCCCACCTGCTCCCCAGTCGGCTGAGCCCGTCACTCATCAGATCTGGAAGGCACACCAGTGAGTCCTGCCCCTCACTTTGTACCCAAGAATGGAAGCTATGTGAGTTGTTCCAACCGCAAAACAAGTGAGCAGGGGAGACAGTGCCAACACCTAGGGCTCCCCATTGTCTCCGGTCCCTCCCTAGGTGTAGCTGTAGAATTTCTACTGTATAGATGAGCCTTTGGTGATAAAGACTTACTGTTGAGGGAGAAAGCTTGAAGCTGCTTTCACATATAATCTTTTATGTGGAAGTCAGCAAACATTAGGGGCCTGCATCAAAGCACGAGGTGCTGATGGAGAATGGGGGCGGCACTAAGTTCCTCCCCCACTATCCAGCTTCCCACCTTGAAGGCAGCTGGAAACCGTTCATTACTAAAGAGCCTCAAGTCTTCCCAGAGCTGCCAAGACAAAACTTTTGTCCTTGCATTGAATACTTAATAGGCACAAGGAGCCCCTATTAGAGAGGCAGCCAGAGCACCCAGACACCTAAGAGGATGGTTCTGAACCCCACGAGGTGCTCTGTTTGCAGCCATCACACTTACTCGCCTTTTGAATGTGGGTCCTGTGTCCCCCTGCTGGCTGGACTCCAGTGCCTGGCATGGAGCGGGCACTGCCGTAGGGCCTCGGAAGCCATCGCTCTCTGATGGAGAGGCAGAGCGAAGGCTGAATGCTGCCAGAGTTTGACGCTGTTTTCACTCTGTTTTCAGGGGAGGCTCAGCAGCAGGAAGGAGATGAAAGTTGTGTTGCCGCCGAGGCGTTGACAGCGCCCGAGGATGGTGGGAGGCCCGCTGTCAGCTCCCCAGCAAACCCGAGTCATGGGAGCCAACGCAAGCACTTTCATCCTTCATTACCCCGGCTACCTTCTGAGGAGGAAGCAGTAAACAGGCTTGGAAGGGAAATAATTAAACTGACAAAGGAGCAGGCGGCTGCAGAACTGGAAGGGGTCAGGAGAGAGAGTCCCCTGGAGGGATCAAAGAGCTCATCCGTGGGCCTGGGCCTGGCCTCCAACGAGGAGCTCCCCAAATCCCTCCTGGACAGCTTGGACCCCACCCAGCCGGCGGCTGAAGCTGCTGCCCTGGAAGACAGTAAAGGAATCTCAGGGGATGAGGACACAGGCAGTGTCCTGCAAACATGAAGGGGAACAGAGTCCAGCACGGTGACACTTTGCAGGCACCAGGGATGGCGAGAAAAGAATGAAGCGTCACAACACATGCACAGGTCGCTTTCCCCTAAAACACCTCAGCCTCTGCAAATGAGGAATGGCTCAGATCCTGTCGCAAACTGTGAACGTCCCGACGATGCCTGCGGGGTGTGATTTATTAAACACAGGTCCTCAAGCTTCTCGAGTGTCATCTCTTTCTGCCAAGGATGTGCGGCTGTGAACAGGGCCAGGCTGCCATATGGCTGGTCTTCGGCCTCTGTCTTTCTGTCAGCATTTGTTTTATTAGAGATAAGATGTTTTTCTATTAGCATTTGATGTTGTGGATCAAAATTATGGAAAGAGCTGGAATTGGAGGGGATTTTGAGTCAGGGCTGGTGATGGACAGGCAGCTGGAAAGAAAGAAGTAATGGAGCATCCTGTGTCTTCGGGGCCCAGTAGACCTCCCTGCATGGGCTTTCTTGGCATCCTGTCATTGGCCCTGTGCGTCAAGGTGCCCGCTGGTGGGTGGAAAGGGACTGAAGTGGCTGAGAAGGTTGGCCTTCTGGAAGGAAATCCCTAGTCCCCATAGAGGCCTGTTTGCATACTACTAGAGCTGAGTTTTCTAGCCTGTAAATCTGGGGGATTAATTGATTGGAAGTGGTGGAGGAGGAGGAGGGCCTGAGACTCCCAGAGATGATGTGATTCTTTGCTTCTGAAAAGAGATGAGAGCTAGAAGTAGAAATGTTTGTTTGCTTTCTTCAGCCTGTGCTATCTGTAGGATTTGGAGGCCATTCTGGGTTTGGGAAAGAGCAGGCAGTATGGTGTCAGTCTACTGTCCTGCACCACCTGAACCTAGAACCCTTTAGTGCTTCAACAGAATGTCTCTTTGGGGCCTCAGGTATGGGGTTTTAAAAGACAAGACACAGAGCTCGTGGTCCTGGTGGGGAAAGAGAGCAAACAAAGTGACCTCATCCAGTGTGGTGCGAGGAGGAGCCTGGGGGACTCCGGGCAAGGTCCAAGGGTAAGAAAGGAGGGTATGGCCAGTGCTGGTTCTTCTAGGGATGAGACTCATCAGTTCCACCTAGCATTTGGGGCTGCAGGAAACTGCAGGGTCTCTGAGCTGCGGACTTTCTACAAGCTGGACTCAGTTCATTTCTCCCAAGAGCCCCATACCAGATCCCACCACACAAAACACCTTGGAGAAGCAGCATTGCACTGCAGACACCTGCCTGCAGGACAAAGAAATTCACCCCAAAACCTGACGTACACACAGGTTCATCTAGGTGTGACGCCTGCTCATGGGAGGCTGGCCCCCACCGACACCTTCCTGCCAGGTTGCATCTCCTGGTGACGCTGCTGGCAGACATCACAGTCCTCACTCTGGTGGGGGGAGAGGGAGCGTGCAGAGCAAGGACCTGGGCTGGGTCAAGTGCACACCTTGGGGCCTCCGACTGCTTTTTCCCAGCTCCCCTGAGGCTACCCGCCTGCAGAACTGAAGCATGCTGGAACCGGTGCCCTGTCACTTGGGGGTACAAGGACACTTAGCTGCTCCTAATGCTGCTTCAGCCTTCCCCGTTCCACAGGGTCCTTCTGCTCCCTGGGGAACTCCATAACATCCTTTCCTGGCAGGTCACTTCTGCAGCTGAGGTGCTCACCCGAGCTCTGGTTTGCCACATGGTCAACCGCAGTTATCTCTGCAGGGCTTTCTGGATAGTAGGGCTTGTAATAAAACCCAACACATTCCACCAGGGCCAGGGAAACTGAGTCCCAGAGAGGCTGGGTTTGGGAAGCTGAGATCAGAGGAGCTGCGGCTTTAACAATGTGCCCGCCGTCGGTCTGGTAGTCTCTTGTGTTCTTAGGTGGAATGGGAGACAGGTTTGATCCTGGCACATAGGTAACCATGGCAACTCTCCATTCCCTTGTGTGACACTGTCATATCTCTGCTGTCCCCACCCGCGTGGTACCACAGACATTAAAGGGAGATTGGGCAACTACTCATGGTTGTCTTTTAGCCTTTGTGAAAGTGTGTGGCATTCTTCCCTCATGCCACCACACAGCCCTGCACGGACGTGGAACTTTCAGTAACAATTCACACCTGTGACACTTAATAATAGTGATGCAAACTCTACGGCATCACAAGAGCTTCAGACGTAGGAGGTCCCAAGGCTGCTTCCTTCAAGAAAGTCACCGATGGTCTGAGTTTCCACCTTCCATCTCCATTTGCCTCCATGTCTGCTACTTCCTCATGATAACAAGACGGTTGCAATAGCTCCAGGCATCACTCATTCTCACGTATGTCCAAAGGCAGAAGGAAGTTTCTCCCAACAATCTATGTGTGTGTTTCAATAGCAAGAGGCCCAGCTTCTGCCATATTTCATTACTCAGAATCTTCATATGCCTGTGAGTCAATCCCCCGCAAGAAGATGGTACAATGATAGGTTTAGGTGTATGAGGTTTACCCTCAGAATTGAGGAGGGGCCCTGTCCTGGATCTGTAGGCATGAGAGGGGTGACTGTCATATCAAAATCGTAAGTTAGAGGCGCAGACTTAAGGAGATTTGAGTGGGCGCTGTAGCATCTCCTCTGAGCCCCGCGGTTTCTCCTTTATCCCGGCTTTGAAAGCCGGAACGTTAGGGTCGGTGAGAAGAAGACTGCACCCCCGCTTCACCCGCTTCTCTGTGGTCCCCTGCATTGGAGAGGGTTTGTCCCTCCGCTGCAGGCCCGCCTGTCCTGAGGCTCCCGCAGACTTCTGAGCTGGGGTAAGGGACACAGGGCTGGCAGGCCTCCTGATGAAAACGGGGTACACGTGCTGCACCCCTGTACAGCTCTGTTCCTGCAGCTGCTTGGCGTGCAGTTTTACATACAGGTGTTTGTCTTTAATTAAGGCCTGCAGAAAGGATTGGTGTTCATAAGGCAGGCGGCCCTGGCTCCTTCCCTCCATGCCGCTCCTGCCCCCTCCTCCCCCTGCTGCACCCCCACTACCACCCAGCTTCACTGCTAGGAGGCCCCGACCCCGCAGCCTCCTGTCTGATGGCAACCTTAAGGAACTTGGTTAGATTTCCCTTGTTGCTTTGCTCTTCCCAAACGCATGTGTCTGCCAGCCAACTGGGGCGCGAGAAGTTCAGTCTCTAGGGAATTCTGAAGACTAGCTCTCTGAGGTTTTCTTCTCTGTCTCTCTCCAGTGGCCGCGTGGCTTTGCCCTCTGGGTTTTCCAAGCCTCTACCAAGAGGGTGCCCTCTGGCTTCACTGCCTTCCCACTGCCCTGTGGCTGGCTGCCTGGCGCTCACTTCTCTTTGCAAAAGGTCCCGATTAGATGGCTTTTTCCCTCTACTTTCATTCCAGAAGGCTCCATTTGAGACAATCCTTCTCAATAAAAACCAAGGTACCATCAGAGGTTTCCAGTTAGAGTGTCAAAAACCCAAAGCACTGTCCCAGGCTCATGGCTTTACCACATTCCTTTCCCCCAGATGGCTTTCAGGATGGAGAAAAGTGCAGACAGAGCTGCAACTAGGAACTCGGGAATCTAATTAGAAAGAAAAGCAGAAATAAACAAGGACTGGTCTCTCCATGTGACGGTTGTGCACAAAAGCAAAGCCAAACGAGTCGATCCAGCATGAGGGCAATTTGACATGATAGCTGTGGATGTGCTGCCTTCTCTTTCTTATCAGGTCTTTGCTAAACAAGACTGTTTCTTCTGGATGCACGAGAGAGTCTGCATAGCGCTGGGAAGTTTGACTTCGGAGAATTTGTGAGAGCTCAGGAACACATTTTGGGATTTTAGCCAAGGCCCTGAGGGCCTGTTAAATGTAAAACAATTGACTTTTTCTTAAAACCAGCTGCTCTTTGTAGTTTTATGTAAAGAAAGATGTAGCTTCTCTTCCTTTGCAGGCCTGACCATATTAGAGTCTATGATCACTGTGTATCATAACTATATCTTGTTTTTACTTGAAATAAAAATGTGATGATTTTCTTGATGTAGGTGACTAATTATCTGTATTATGTATGCCATTCTCTCTCAGCACCGGGCACTGCTTATAGCATATTGTAGCGACTTACCAGTCACAATCTGTCCCTTAAAATTACTTCATCATATGGTAGCCATGAAAAAATACGGTGAATGTAAAGATTTTATGCATTCAGTCAAAAAAGGCAGATCTAAAATCAGTTGGTTTATTTCCTGCAGTCTTTCAACTGGACCCAAGTGCTCACTGATTTGCTCTATTTTTTCACGTTTTTAGTATTTCTGTGTATATGCACTAAAAAGCCCTACTCGGGGAAAAAAAAACTCACTGCAATTCTGAGAAAAAGCTTATCCTAAGCATCTAAAGATAGCATTTCTAATTATTGTCTACATTGTGTTTAAACTATACAAACTTGAGCGTTATTCTCACTTTACCAGCTGTGTCTAGGTAGAGTCATTGCATCAAACGCTTCTAATTTTACAAAAAGAAATCAAAACAAGTGTGTGTTTAGGTCCCAGTGACAAATGCAAACCCTGTGAGTCAAATGGGCAAACTGATTAGCAAGCTGGCTGGCAAGTCAAAACAGCAAATATAAGGAGATTAACAAAATAGGTCTGTAAGATGAGAGGAGCAAAAATAGACTCCAGGGGCCAAGTCAGGTCCAGTGGGCGGGCCTGGTGGCTGTCTGCCTTCTGGCTCACAAGCCCCCCCTTCTCTTAGGCCCCTCCCGCCAAGAGCCATGATAGCAGAGGTTCTCTCTTCCAGCCTCCCAGGGGTGGCAGAAATTCTTCTTAGAAAACTCAAAGACGGTGACCTTCCGTTCACTGACTCCTAGCTGTGTGACGTCCTCACATGATAGCTTTGGTATTTTTCTGTCTTTAGCCACTGTTCTTAAGTAGATCCTTATCAATGTGATGCTATGTACCTCTCATGAGTAACACTTGTGATAATCTTCAGAAGAATCCAGGGTATGATCTTATCTTACAAGAACGAAAACCCAGGCTCAGACAAATTAAGCGACTTATTTAGGCCACACAGCATGAAGTAGAGCAGAGTCAGAGTTCAGACAGGGGTTCTGACCCCATTGCTATCGGGTGCAATCGAAATATTCAGCGTTTATATTTTTTAAAATTACAGCGAGAGACGCATTGCTGTTAGTCTCCTTCTGAATACCCTGCCTGTCTTCCAACACACCAATCCCATTGTTCTTGGCACTTTCTGAAGCAGCTCTGGAGGTCCTCTTTCAGGAGTGTCTTCAGCTGCACTGTGCTGGCTTCCTCAATATCCTGAACCAATTCAAAATGTTACCTTTCACTGCTTATTCTGCCTTGGGGAAGTGCTAGAAGTCACATAGTACCAGATCGGATGAACAGCGTGGAGGAGGAGACACTACTGTTCGATCACCATACTAGATGTGATGTGTGATAGAGTGTTGTCACAGTGGAGGACGCCTGTTACCCCTTTCTCGGGCCATTTTCCAGACACATCACTTCCCTCACATAAAAACACGACAGTGTGTCCTCATCCTCTTATCGCTGGATCTGGGACTGTGAGATTTCTGGCTTTTCTCCAAAGTCAAAATGACCATGAAACATAAACATTTTGAATCAGGTCAGAACATGGAGGCAGCCAAGCTATTACAACTGAAGACAAGGAACAGGACTCCCAGAGCAAGCAGCAAGAATGATGGATGAGGGTCTCTGCAGCAGGGGGAGCACTGGGGGGCGATTAATAGCAATGCGTCTTTTTCTTATTTAAACGTTCATCAGGGCTTTCGAGCTCACCTTCCACGTGCGGTGCTTTGTCCTTAAGATGAACTACAATTTTGTGATAGCATTGTTGTTTGCACTTCACTTGTTTCCCCCGCCCGGCAGGATTCTCCGCCAGCCCTCTTCCCAGGGGCACAGTGCCTGCTTGGCAAGTATGAGGTCCTGAGTTCAGTACCCAAACCAAAAAAACAAGTTCAGGCTATTCCGAGGCTGCTGCTGATTCCCTTCCGTGCAGTCTCCACTGAAAATTTCACACCAGTAAGGACCAGGTGGTGGAGCAAAGACAGCAGTCTTTTCAGTTGTCGCTTGAGTTCAAGCAAAGATTTAGAAATAACAAGTTAGTCCTAGTTTGCGGTAAAAATAACCACTGGGGACGGGTTTTTGGCTGTGGTTCAGTTTGACTCACTGCTTGATGAGCCCAGGTGAAATGGGAGCTGCCTCTGGGCGGGGAGGTTAGCTGGGGAGTGACGCCCCCTCGAGGCAGGCCACACACAGGTGCTCCAGCTTGGTGAATGAAGGTGTCTGCTCAAAGCTGCTCTAGTCTACCACAGGTGATAATTTGCATAAAGGGACCTGGAACCCCCCCCCCCCCCAGGGCCCAGTCAAACTCAGCCTGCAGCTTCTGCTCCCCTGACCCCTGTGCCGCATATCATCCTGGAGAATGCTAACAATCCCAGCTGGCAACAACCACCCACCGTGACCTGCCCAGGTGTGGCTTCCCTGGTGCTTTCTTATTACACCTGGGAAACAATGAACCAAGGCCGGGCGGGTCCCATCTGGCCTCACTCCCTCCCGGGCCAGGGACTCAACATTTCCTCCTAATGGACCTCCCCCGCCTTTTGGATTTCACAGCTCTGAGGCATATATGACATAATATGTATGCACACACACACACACATGCACACGTGGGTACACACACTCGTGTACACACATGAACTTCTACCCTTATGTAATTCTGGTGATTCCCATGGTGGTAATCCCAACTTGGAAAGGGCACCATCATGCATGACTGAACATTGTTCCAGTGGGGTTATAGCAGGGAACACATCCTGCAAAGGTTTGAGAAGTTCTTTTTACTATCTCAAGAAAAGAGAGAGAGAGAGAGAAAGCAAGAAAAAAAGAAAAAAAAAAAGAAAAGAAAAAGTGAAGAGGGGAAAGGAAGAAAAAAGGAAGTTTGTTTTGGAAGAAAAAACTCAGATAAACACAGTAACCAAGGAAGGCCTGGCGCAGGACTGAACTGCCGAATTTTTACTATGCAACAGAGCTTGTCAGAGACAGCCCTGAAGAGCAGCTCTCCCCAGGGGGTGCGGGCAAAACAGCAGAAGGCGCGTGGGGGATGGTAACTTCTGGCCGCACCACTAGTGGTGTGAACACGAGAGGGTCCCTGGGCAACCTCCCACGCCAGGGAGGAGTCTAAGGGAGCAGGTCTTTCTTTCTTTCTCAAGATTGAAAATGATCTCAGGGGTCACAGGAGGGGGCTGTGGGGTCTGGGGCTCAGGGAGGAAAGGGATCTCAGCAGGAGAGACCCAAGGTGGATGCTGTATTTCCACACACCTGGGGAGGGGGCCTGAGAGTTTGGAGCTCATCGGTGGCCCTCAGAGGGAAGCATCTTGGCCCACGAGGAGACCTCAGGCTGAAAGATGCGTGTGGGTGCAAAGGTAGAGGGGCTCCAAGGCAGACAGGTCAAGGGGCACACAGCATTTTCTCTGCACACACAGGGGCCCTGGATATGTGGAACCGTATAGAGGGCATCTCCTCCAGCCTGGAGGTAGGGCTTTCAGAGTACACAAGGGTGTCCTGGTGAGGAGGATCCTTAGGGTATACTGGGGTGGAAAGGCACCGGAGTACAAAGGAGTCTCAGGGCACACGTGGTTGTTAAGACAGAGAGGATTCTGGTGGGAGGTGTCCTGGCAGGAGGGGCTCTCGGGGCGCACAGCGGTACATAGAGTGTCCTGGTGAGAGGGCTCTCGGTGCATGGGGGTGTTTTGGGAATGGAGCCCTTGGGGAGATACGGGACTCTTGGGGCACACAGGGAGATCCTGGCATGGTGGGGTGTCCAGGGGGATGAGCGTCCTGCAAGGGCGCATGGGAGTGTGTGGGGTGTCCCGGGGAGGCGGTGGGTGGTCTCTGATGCACGGGGGCGCCCCAGGACGCTCAGGCAGTGGCTGTCTTGCACTCGCTGTCGCGCCGCCTCTTCTTGCGTTCCATGTGCTCCCGCGCCTGGCGCGTCCAGGGCTCGGCGCCGGTGGTACCCACCACGCAGCAGGCGAGCCTGGGCCCCGCGTTGCCGTTCTGCACGCTGGCCGGGTTGTTGCCGCGGCCAAGGTCATCCTCGCCGGCATGGACCACCACGGAGCGGCCCAGGATCGAGTGCGGGCCGGCCAGCGAGGCGGGGAGGCTGGCCTGGTGTTTCCAGACGCGGCCGTCGCGCACAACGAAGTTGCCAAAGTCGCCAGGGTGGTGCGGGTGCAGCACGGACAGCGGGTTGTAGTGGGGCCCGGTGGAGTCACAGCCCTGAGTCAGGTCGCCGAACTGATGCACGTGGATGGCGCGTTTGGAGTTGTTGGACTCCTCTGGAAAGCCCTCTAGGTCGAAGAAGGCCTCCAGCCTGGCCTCAGGTGCAGACTGCCGGAAGAGGACGAGGCCAGTCACCCGGGGTTGCTTGGCGTCCAGCGTGGCGGACGGCTGCACGCGACACACTGCGTGGAGCGCTGCATTTGGTTGGCTAGCCGCCTCCCGCCGCTGCGTCAGCTCCTGCCAGATGTCTGTCACCTTGGCATACATGTCTCCGATCTGTTTCATCAGGTCGGGGCTGGGCTCCGCCAGGACCAAGCTGCTCAGGGTGTGCATGGAACCTGCTGCCAGAAGCAGGCAGCCACACAGCAGGGCCAGCATGGCTGGGGTCTGCACCTGAAGGCGCCCCATGGAGACAGGGCAGAACACCTCGGTCATTTGAAATAGCAAGTCTCAGGGTCCCTGCCCTCGACAGATCCACCTCATCCCACCTCCCGGGCTCCCCAAAGGGCCTTCCTGGTCCAGCAGACATTCAATTGGCAAATGGGCCTGCTTTATGTCCAGCGGACTGAGCAAGGTGCTAGGTTAGTAAAACTGGGTGAGATCCCATCTGGAGACACTCACAGAGCTAGGTCCCTTCAAGTCCTGTGGGTAGTCTGGAGAGAGACCCAGGGCCTTGCTGATGTCTGGGACCCTTCCAGACTCAGCTTTCTCCAGGGCTGACCCCTTGCTGCCCTCTTTCCACATCCTGCCTCCCGCCCTCCTGGCCTCCTGTCTTGGTCTGCAGGCTTAGGAAATATACTCGGTTTTATTAGGTAACCCAGCCCATACCAGGCAATAGCAGAACCTTAACCTTGAGGGAGATTGTGAGCAGCTGGCTGGTCCCCAAGCCAGTCCAATACAATCCTGTGATTGATGTTGGAACCTTGTGTTGCAGTAGGACAGAAAAAGTCATGCCCAAACCCTCAGAAGGCCTCCAGAAAGGATTCCCAGAGGATTCTGAGTTGGATTCTACCAGACAAGTAGCGGTTTACTAGCTAGCCATTTCAGGCAGGAGAGAAGGCAGGACATGCTCATGGTAATGAAAGGACAAAAGTTGGAGGAAATTCACTGTGGCCAGGACACTGCCTCTGTGACTATGGACAGCTGGGGATTGAGAGGAAACTGAGCCAGGGACGGAGGGACAGCTTTGCTGTGTTAAGGGCTGGAGGTGGTGTGTGTGTACAGGCCGGGGCTAGAGTGCGGGGAGAAGTGGGTGACGACGAAATTTTAAAAGTTCAGTATTAGATGCAAGAAGACTGAATTTTGAATGTCCTCACCACTAAGAAAGGAGAAGTAGAGAGAGAGAGAGACATGTTTCTCCTGTGCATATTGAATGCGACCCAATACCAGCAGCTTGAGCCCTTCCAGGGAACCTATAAATATGCACAATTACTGTGTCAGTTAAAATTGCTAAAAAATGTTGAGAGTTCACAAAGTCTGAGCGGAGAATGGATGACGCCTGGACCTTGCGGGTAGAGAGGACAGGAGGGTGATGGGAGTCATCCTTCTAGAGACCGAGACACAGAGCAGCTGTGAGAGAGGAGACCTCACCCAGGTGGAAATGAGCAGAGCTTTTCCAAAAGTGAGGGAGACCTGGGGTTCAGCACCGCCAACAGGGAGGGAGAGTGAGCCCCTGACGATGGCTGAGGTTCCTAGCAGGGGACACCCTGCTGCGGGGGAATGGACAGGATCCAGGCCCAGAGGGAGAGAGGCAGCGTGAGCCAGCACCCACAGAGGGTGGGGTGCTGTGGGAGTCTTGGGGAGCAGATTTAGCTTATTGTTGACTGCTCGTCAGATGTGGGCTTTACAAAATTGGATGCTCGGGCCCCACCCATGAGATTCTAATTCAGTGGTGGGCTTCCTTGTGTAAAGAAAACTCAAAGATTCTGAGGCCTGGGAAGTGACTGTGAGTCAGGTCTGGATTTGAATCTTAGTTACAACAAAAACAGTCGACCTTCAGGATCGGTAGGAATCTGGGGTCCCACGGCCACTCCTTCCACTCTGTGGATTCCAAAGTCCTTGGTGCTCACGTCCATTATATGAAACGCCAGTGAATTCCCACATAACCTACAGGTCTCCTCCTACACCCGAAGGCATCTCTAGGTTACTCATTACATTTTTGTAAGTGCTATGTAGATAGATAAATGTTAGACCGTATTGTTTAAGGAACAATGAGAAAAAAGTCTGATCAGTACAGACAGAGTTTGTTCAAGGGGAGCTGAGGGCTAACTGTCCTGTGACCTCCAGGGCTGCTCACTTTCAGCCTCAGGCTCCTGCCCTGTGAAATAAGGCCAGTCACACCAGCGAGAGCATGCTGAGGCCTGGGTGAGGTGTTTATAAATCAGAATTCTTCCACATTTTAAAACCGGCCCAGAGGGACTGACGATGCCTCTGAAGAACTAGTCTGAAGGTCAAGTACACTTTCAAGGGCCTTCTTTAAACCCAAAGTAGATGCCATTTACAAGAACAAATCCAGGATTGGGTCTGTATTCTCTGCAGAACTGTCATAGGAAGGCTCATTAGTAGGGCGATTACAAGAATGGATTCTGGACCTCATGAATTGAAAGCTTGATGGTCCCCTGGACTCTAAGAGTTAGCAGTCATTGTCATGTTTTATACAGTGCAGCAGCTAATGCTGGACTGCAAAGTGTCCACAGGCCTGCCTCCCCTCTGAGCCTCAGCTTTCTCATCTGCAGCAGAGATAGTAACACTCTCCTTAGAAGCTTGCTGACTGGCTGGAGACACTTAGAACTGCTAAAATGTGATCTGCTGCCCCTTACACACTGTTCAGGGCCCCCATGATGAAGCACCCAGCTAGGACCTGTAGCCCAGAGCCTGATATGAAGAGTTCTCAGCAAAGAAGCCACCAGTGGAAATGCTGGGACCATCAGTCCAGAAAGCCATGATGGAAACCTTAGAAGTAGCACGTGCCCATCCAAATCGCCAAGGAATAGCCAGGAAGGCAGGACAAGAAGCAAAGACAGTGATAGCCAGGGACCAGCTTCTGACTTGGCTTGGTGTGGCATTACTACTAAATCCTTGGGAGTGGGCAGGGAGGTGGGGGACTTCCCTGGAGCTTTCCCAGTAGGAACCTCCTCCTGGGGCCACCCTGATGCCTAGCAGTTCTCTGTGCCTGGAGAAGTTTTCTTTCAAAGCAGAGAACAAAATCAGGCTGTCGCTAGTCTCTGTGGACTTTGTTTTACAGGACTACATGGGAAATAATAAATATTTGAAGGAGCTATTTTACTGCTAAATCAAAAAAAAAAAAAAAAAAAAAAAAAGAAAGAAAGAAAGAAAAGAAAAAAGCAAAAGGCTTCCTACATCCAGGTAAGCTCTGAGTCCTACTTTTTAGGATTCTGCCCTCTCTGTCTTGGGGCCTCCACTTGGGGCCCAGCCTTTTGGGACAGCCTCTTGCCCAGTTTCACGGTGAACACGCAAGCTGGTTTTTTCAGTATCTGTGCATGGTCTGCAGAGGAGATAAGACTGTCAGAGAGAAGCTAACAGGCCTTGTCTTAACCTGGCTCCGTATCTGCAAGGATTTGAGCCTTGAAAACTCCTCCTGAGCTTTAGGTGATCTGTATCCCTCAGCTCCCTCCCAGAAGGAGCCCTTGGTGGGAGCTGGCGGTGGTCCGGCCAGGGCCTCACCTTCCATGCTTGTCCTAGTGTTGATTTTCAAGTACCTCCTGTCCCTCATTAGTTCCAGTCTCCAAGCCAGGCAACCTTCAGTGAGGCAACTCTGAGAAATCTACTTCTCGTAGGATTTCTTTTTGCTAATGCACAAGTCCTTTTGGACTGGCCTTGGCAGAGCAAACAGCTTCTTTCCCCCCATCGCCTTCCTCCTCATGGCCACACTGCTCCTCCAAAGCAGCCAGGCCTGTCCTTAAGTGTTTCCCCAAGACAAGGCCTCCTGCCCCAACCGACTGCTGGCTCTTAAGAAGCACACACTGAGAAGAACAGACCCCGTCTGAAGTTGGCACCCACCTGAACAGCCTTCCAGGAGACCTCTCCTCCTGCTGTGTGGAGCAGCACCAGTGGTGACGGCAGGAATTCAGGCCACCTCCTGGGCTGGGTTGTTTGTGAGCAGAGGGAAGCCAGCCCTTAGGGAGTGGTCAGTAGGAGGCAAGAAGGTCATTGGGCCCGTTTAGGGAGGAAAAGCCAGCCAAATATCCCTTGTTGCAAAATCATTTCGCCTCCTCCTCCTCCTCTGTCCCCACCTCCCTATCCCTTCCCATCCTCGGCCCCCTTGCCAAGTCTGCTTTTTCATGACGTCCCTGGTTTCTACAGACGTAGCCTGTGACCTTCAGCATGCAGCGGGGAGATAAACAGGAGAAAGAAAATAGCCTGTTTGGAGAGGTGCACAATGGCTGCTTTATGAGCGATCTTCCATTCCCCTCAGTGCCTCAGCTGTTGACTTATTTTTGCTGGATGCTGGTATGTGTTTAAACGCAGGCTCTTGGCATTCGTACGTGAGTGATGCTTGTTCCAGAATTTGGTGGTCTCTGTAAAGAGGTGAGCAGCACATCTCACAGTGCAGAGCTCTGGTTTTGTCTCTTCCCAACTGTGCTCCTGGACCCATGACACCTTCCCCTCTGCCTTGCTTGCAGTGTCTGTCAAATGGGCATGTGACACGGCACCGTGCACCATTACTGTGAAGATGAAACAAGACTGTCATACAAATGTGACCCCTACCCCCAAAAGCCAGTTCCCGGCTTTCCTAAATAATGACATTAATGCCACTGTCGCTGTCATTGTTGTTATTAAAATGACAGAGGAGCATTTTAAAAGGGTACGTGGTCTTTCCGGGGCAAAAGCCTTTCCTTTTACAAGGTCCTTTTCTCTCTCGTCGCCACAAATTCTTCTACATCACAGCAGCTTTTGCTAGAAATAGAAGCCTTTCTTTCCCAGAAGAGCCCGCAGGGGAAAAGGCAGCTTGCTGCTGCCTGCCTGTCCTCCTGGGTCCCTTCAACAAACGGCCATTGGGTGCTTGCCCCCTGCCAGGCTGTGCACTGGAGGTAAGCGACTGTGACTATGCTGAGCACTGGGGACCCAGAGCTACAGGAGTCCTGGCCTCTTGGGGTTCACACTAAGAAAAGAGACAACAGCAGTGAGGATGGGGGGAGTGCATCCAGGGAAGGAGGGACATGGCCCCTGGGATCCCCAGCACTAGCCCTGGCAGCAGGAAGCTTGTTGAATGATGTAGGCTTCTGCACCCCACCCCAGGCCAATAGATCACAATAGACACCTCTTGAAATAGTTTTAAAAGCCAGTGGTCGTGATAGTCAACCGGGTTTGAGAACTTATGGTTGGCATAACAAGCTCAAACGAAAGATTTTTGTCCAGAGGCAGCTGATCCAGAAGGTAAGATGGAGAATTCTCAGAACTCAGGGCTTCCAGCCCCCTGCCCTGCTTGGACCTCTGGCTAAGCATTTGGACAAAGCAGTTCAGTCCTACAGCTCTGCATTCTGTGGGTGGGCTTGGTTGTCCTTCACGAATGGGCTTGGATTCTGGGGATGGGCGTGGTTGTCTTCCACAAATAAACTTGGATTCTGTGGGTGGGCGCAGTTGTTCTCTATGAATGAGCTTGGATTCTGTGGATGGGGGTTGTTGTGCTCCACGAATGAGTTTCCAAGTTCCGGAAGCCATCCCCCGCAGACCTTTACCTTCTCATTGTGAACTGATCATCCAAAACAATTTTTTAAAAATTTTCATTCAGTTTTTGAAATAACTCTATGGCTACCATTTTGTTTAGACTAACTGCACGCTTTTTAATGTCCAAGAAAGCGCTCCCCTTGCTCTGTTCTGGTATTTTCTTCTGGGAAGCCATTTTTAGTCTTGCAAGTGGTATTGTGTAGGCGACCACAAATTATAAATCCACAGAGCATCTGTCCGAGGTCCTCCTTGCCCTGCCTGGTGGGCCAGTTCTGGACGGTGGAAATTGCGCTTCCTCTAGGTCGCCGCTGAGATCTTGATGGTCCGTGCGGCTGTGAGGCTCACAGAGCAGGATGAAGTCTGCGGAGGACAATGCGAGGAAAACCAGTGCCCAGATGTGGAGGTGAATTTTGTTTCTTTTATGATGTTAAACTTGCCCATTCAACCACACTTTTAAGCTGCTCCAGGAAAAGCACTGTACCGCTCCTCCCTCCTCCTGCACTAGCAAATAAAATGGTAGCTATCGGGGGATTCTTGGTCTCTGTTCCTGGAAAACATTGATCTTCCCAGAGCCTTATTTTCTTGCACTTTACTCTTTTTCTTTCTCACTGTGCACATTAACTCCAGGCAGGAGGTTCAGGGACTCATTGCAGGGGTCCCTGATAACTGGCACCGTGGAAAGAGTTACTAATAAGTACTGCCTTCACCCCTTGCTGCAGGTGGCTCAGGGGTGATCTCTTCAAGGACAATGAGATGCTACCACGCTTTTGCTGGAGCTGTTAAAAGAGATATAGCCTCTTTTTCCTACTGGACTTGAAACACTGGAAGGAAAGGCTGGAATTATTGTGGCCACCATATTCCACTAAGGAAGAGTCCTTTTGAGGATAAGGCCAACATGGGAGGAAGTAGAATAAAACCAGAGTGAAATTTGGACTCAGTGGCAGTGTTTGAGCCCCTAGAACTAGCCATACCTGAAGCTCTGTTTTCATTTTGTAAATCAATATGTTGGCAATTTGCTTAGATTGGCAGGCATATAGCCGTGAGGCACAGCACCTGCCTGGCAAGTGTGAGGTTGTGAGTTTGAATCCTGGTACAAAAAAAAAAAAAAAAAATTCCTTAGATTGCTTGAGTTTTCTAAACTTGTAACTGAATATTCTACAGCTTTTTCTCAGATAGTATGTTATTTAATGCTTGCAATAAATTTGTAGAGTTGATATTGATCTGTTAACTTTATCAAAAGGGAGTTCAAAAAAAAAATACCACCAAACTTGCAGACATACAAAATGGCAAAGTCACAGCTGAAAACTCATGACTCTGACCCTTAAGCCTGGTCTTTTAATCATTACACTTTATTATTAACCTTATGAGGAGATGAAAGAAAAGTTACAAACAGGCATCAGATAAATAAGCACAAATTTTGCAGTCATCTGAAGTGCCTTTAGAATGAGACCCGGAACCACTGACTTCTGTGCTTTTCATGTCTGCTAATGAATAATACAACAGAAAACCAAGTGGGCATTGTTAAGCAGCAGCACTATAAAATGCATTTAAAAGCTGTCCGCTTTGCTGGAGAACTTTGTACTCTTTCTGAAGGAATTTGAGTTGTAAACAGCTTCCTTGCCACTGTGTTTGCAGAAAACGGATGGAATTAAATTCTACGAGTTTGTAGATTGAGTGGTTACCATCAGGAGAAAATTTTTCAAAGTGATAGCGAGGATTTCAGATTGCCTCCCCCAAAACCAGGTTTTGTATGATGACAGTTTACCCAGGCGGGGTACTTACTTCAGGCCCCCTGAAAAACGCTTCCAGTGCATTTTACCTGCCTGGATTTTTCCTGGAAGCCTCCAGGGGGGTAGAAGCGGAATCCGAGAAGTGCAGAGTTCAATCTTGTCCAGGCACACCTGGGTAATGTAGGGAAAAGTAGATCCTAACTGGAAAAGTGAGCAGGAAGCAAAGAAGCATCAGACTTACGAATAGGAGTAAATTAATAACATCTAACATTTATTAAATGCCTCTCGTGTGTCAGGCACCGGCTAAGCAATTTGTGTGCAGCTTTTCATTCATATTAATAATGTTGCTTCTCAGTGAAGAAGGGAAATTGCATTCTGGTCCATGCTGTGTTTGGACAAGTTTCCTTTCCACGGTGAGCATATCACCCTTCCCTTCAAACGTGGTCACCTGAAGAGCAAGACCCGTGGTAGGACACAAAAGGAGTGCCTTTTTTGACGTGAAGGCAGTGTGTGTGACTATTTCCTGGGAAGGTCCCCAGAGTGAAAGCCCTCCCTAGTATGGGCTCAACTTTCCCTCTCGTCTTCCTGCGTCATCCCTGGGAGAAAGCTCCTGCCATTGTTGATTTGTAATAAGAAAATACTATAGTACCTTGAAAGCATATCCAATTTAGCACTTATTTGCTCAAAATAATTGCATCTATTTGAGAAAAGAGAAACAATTTTCAGTTTACTCTCTTATTACCTTTATTTAGCATTCATTGGTCCTAACGTCCATGTTTGCCCCTCTTCTTACTGCTTCCTGCCCCAGAATCTGGGAAACTAGACACTTGCTTTCTTGGAACCTCTTGTAAGTAGTAGTGGACAGGTGACCTCGTTAGAACTAATGAAACATAAACTGATGCCATTTTGAGGAGTCACTTTTCTATAAAGGTTACAGAAATGGCTGGTGATGATCTCTTCCATCTTGGCTAAAATGTGGGAGAGACACCTGGCAATGTGACAGCTGCTTTGGCACCATAAGTTGACAAGAATGAGAACATGAGACCATCGTACATGGATGGTGGAAGGAAACGGTGGGAAGAATTTAAGTCCTTGAAGACCTCACTGAGCATTTAACCAACAGCAGCAGCATTCTAGGTTTCTCGTTAGAAGAGATTACACCTCATGTGTTTCATTGCTAGTGGGTTTGTGTTACTTGTAGCCAAATTCATGCCTAAGAGATACAGTTATGTGTTGGACTCTGCACTGGGCTCCATGACCCTGAGGATATGACAGTCAAAGTCTTACTTCAGGGCCTCATAGTCTATGTTTCAGAAGCCTTATCTGAGAGACTATCTCTTCACCCTTCCCGGCTCCCCACCTCACTCACCCCTGCAGTGTCTCCATGGACTTGAAGTATTCTCCCTAATCTGAAAGCCAGAGTGGCCCAGCCCCCTTCCTCCACACCCTTAGCATGGCCAAAGTAACAGACCAGATGGGCAGGGGACCCCAGAGAGCTGTTCCACGTGAAGGGATCAGGATCTGGGTACAGAGGGGAGGTGGCTTTCATTCCTCTTGGGATGAGGGAAAGTAGTGGCCGGCTGGAAACATGAAGGAAAACAGGTCCTCTGACTCAGCCTCTATTTTAGAAGAGTAATTAGGAAGTTGAAATGCTGGCAGGATTCAAAAAGCCTCAGATACAAGGAAGAAAATAGGGAGGCAGCTCTGTGTCTCACTCAGCAATGAATCTAGTACAACTCCTAACTGAGCTTCCAAGGGGAGCAGATCACGGCCACCATCACAGCTTTAAACTACGTCAC